TATGATATGACCAAAATACTTCTACAATTATATTACTTCAATACATAATAACATTAATTCACCTTCATCTTTATATATACATATACTTTTTCTCTTATTCTTTTTATTTGCCATTTTACTTGCATTCAAATGACGTTTTGAATAGTATTGACGTATATTCATGTTTTCTTTTTGATTTATTGAAAAAGACATCAATATGAACTAGATCGATTATAAGAGAAAAGAAGGTTTATGAAGATTGCAGTATTGATTTAACAATATTTAATAGAAGTGAATGAGAAATGATTTGCGTCAACATAAGATTAGTCTATACTTTACATAAATATGTGCGTCATTGAGAGAGCACATATTATGGGTTTTTTTTGTTTTCTGCTGCTGTTGTTATATGAGAGAGTAAAAACAAGATTCAACGAAGTAAATCTTCTTGAAGTAATGAAAAGATTTGTGATGGTGAAGATGGAGATAGATTAAGAGGTATAATATCTATCTTTTTTAAGTTAAATAGGTGTTATATTGGTATCAGAATTACGAATAACTTTTATTTTTTTTGATGGATCACACCATACTTTTTCCAGCATAGTAAAGAAAAAATCTCGTATATGATTCGATAATATTTTGATGTTTCAGCTAATGTTAAAAGTATATCGGGTAATTGTGCTATTGAACGAAAGAATCAGCTTATATGTTGTAACTTGACAATATTTATTAAAAAAAGTAATATAGAATCAATTAGAATTGTTTCATCATTATGCCATTGTACCATAATACGACTATAATATGGTTTATATTCAATTATACGAATTAGAGCTTGTATATAATCACACAATATTTTTTCGGTTGAGAAAAAGATCTTTACATTTTGTTTCTCTCTCTGAATCCCACCAACGAGATGAGCTATACAAGCAAGTAATTCTTTATTCCATAATTGAATAGTGAAACTTTGAATTTGTATTATTTGCAAATAATCATGACCAATATGTTGAAGAACTTGTCCTAAGACATGCACTTACAGAAAGTGTACATGTTTTAGTATCAAAAGAAATAGTTTCTTGTTCAAAAATGATTTTTTTATTAAATAATGCAAATGTTTGAAAGAAATCTAAATAACATGAATGATTAAATCAATCACGAGAATTTTGATTAAGTATTTGCCATATTTTGTGTTCTAAAATAATTAATGGTCGATCCATTTTATGTTTGAATAGTAATGTCATTTGCTGAAGAATATCATTCGATAAAGGAGATGTATTAATTGTATTAATAAGTTCCTGAAAATTCATTTCTTTTATTATTTAGTGTTATAAAAATATGAATAGATACTTTTTATTCGTTCTACAGGATGCGCACGAACGAATAGTACAGATTTGTGTACACATTCTTATTTACCTATAAATATTCTAAACACATACGCCAAAGTTGCAATTATTTTTTCATATAGTAAGTAAGTATTTATTACATTACATACATCGTTATTTTGTTTTTTTACACAATGAATCATAATTATTTATTACTTCGGCATTATACAAAAGTTCATTTTAATATGTATGCTAATAGTTTCTGGTTTAACACAAAGAAGCGTTCTATTTTTAGAAAATTAACAAACTATAATCGATTGATATAAATTTTCTTTTCAAAATATTAATTAATAAAATGTGGTTATATGTTCTATTGTTTACATACAGATATAAGCAATAAAAAAGTGAATATCATTACAATTCACTCATCTCCTCTCTACAGACGTGATAGATATCCTAGCAACAGTTCGTCACAAACCTGACAGACAGTATCAGTTAACATTAATTAATGACTAATAATTATTGATAATTAATTAACACTAACTATTAGCAATTGATTGATGAGAGATAGAAAAGGAAAACAGATACTAACGTTTTTCTAATGTTTCTGTTATCCCTGAACAATCGGCTTCAAGTTCCATTTTAAATTTATTTAAATTATTCTTAAATTTTTATGATACCGTTCAACAACATCATGAAAATCATTAACTAAATTAATTTTAGCTGTTGTAGCTTTTATTAATTATTGATGTCATTCAACGAGTTTATCATATTTTACTTGTTTTTGTCATGGTGCAGCATATTCTTCTTGAGGACGGGTCTGGGTGTGAGTATCTCTTCTCTTACATTCAACCTCAACCACACCCTTCCTAAGTACTCATTTTTATATAAATCCTTGCAATGATAAAATGGTTTAAAAAAAGTCACAGCTATTTTTAAGTACTAAAAACTATTTATGAAATAGAACAGCTTGTGATATAATGTGTAAATAAAGCATTTTCCCTGATATCCACTATTATATATACCATCCGAATTTATTAATCTATAAGATTTTAGAAAGCTTTTTTATAATTATGCTATTATATCTTCCTGAATAACAAGATTTTTCTACAATCTGATACTATAATTTGATGTATAGTATCTAAAATAACAGTTATTACCTAATGGTTTTATTTGAAAAGAGTATTGAGGGACATGGAGTAGAACTTTGCGTCCATCAATCCCTGTCTTCTCTACCGACGTGATATATATCTTAGTAATTATTCGTCACTGGCATTTTTTGATTAATTAATAAATTTAATTGAATGTGAAAGAATATTATAATAAACATAACGTATGTTATTCATTCTGTCGGTAAAATAAAATAATAAAGTTATAACGTAAAAACAACTGTATGAATAATAGTATTATTAATTTTTAAAATTTCAATCCATCTCTTTTTCTTATTTGGTTCAACAAATGGATAAATATCTTTTAGACGATTGCATTCAACTGTTACTACTTTTTGTCCAGTTTCATTTCTATGATTCCACTGATGAGTTTTACATTTATCAAAAGGATCAAACTCAATTAAACGTTTAGGTTCTCTTGGTGCTGGTATCCATAAGTATCCAAGTGGTCTTAAAGTTAATGGAAAAATATATCTTGTTCGAAATGATTTATTTAAATCCAATAAACGCCATAAATGAGTTTGATTTTGTTCATAAAAGAAAATATCGACAAAAGGAAAATGCCATTTCTTTTTTCCAGCAATTTGAGTAATATTATAATATAGTTTATCATATTCCTTTTTTGATCCACCATTATTTAAAGCAAATCCAATTAATTTTTTATTTATTTTTTTAAATTCATTATTTAAAATTTTTCGTTTGTCATTGGGTACCATAATATCAACATCATCATCCCAAGGTATAATATCGTGATGTCTTATAGAACCTAATAATGTTCCTGCAAACATAAAATACGTAATTTTATGATGACGACATATTCGATCAATTATCTTTAATAAATGCATTACTAATGTATGTTCACATTGAGTTAGCGCACGAGGAATAATAGATGATGATTTCCAATATGAATAACGATAGTAAGGAAAACGAAAAGTTTTTGTATCATTAAATGCAGGTGGAAAAATGACGGGTGATTGAGGATAATATCATTCACTATCAATACGTTGCGCCAAGTCTAAACATAATAAAGAAGTATCATCGACAGCAGTCTTTTCATCTTCTATATCTGATAAATCATTCGAGGAAATTATCGATTTAATTGGCTGTGTTGATGTTGGACATAAGGGACATTTTCCATGTCGAACAAATAGATGGTTCATCAATATAATAGTTGGTACAATAACAAATAAAATTAAGATAATTTTGAGTAGACTCTGTAACCAATAATACATGATTTTTTGATTTTCTTCACAATATTGACTCCTTCTTAAACACTCAACGATATTAGTAGTACGTAAGAAAATGAAATAGAATCAGTATTTTTTATGGCAAGAGATATATCATGTCATAACACAGTATGTGATAGATGCTATTATCATTAATATTTTATTGGTTGTATTCATTTGATTTTTTTTCTATTGTTTTTTTTTGTATAATAAAAAATGAAGATAACATATAGAAAATGTGATTAGGCATCTTAGTTTTATACTTTTTATTACCTTTAGAATTAAAGTTGAATAATCTAACTTGTTACATTATCGATTTTGAATGAAAAGAAAGGTTAATAATGCTACGTACTAAAGTAAATCCAAGTAATCTCGTGTGAATTTCAAAGAAAGACAAATTGTTCGTATTTATAGAAACTAATAAAATATAGTTTTTTTTCTATAAAGGTGCTGATATAATTATGCAGTTAGATGATGTTGTATCAAGTACACTAACCGATCCAATAGTTGAAGAAGATGTGTGGAGATTTGTAATTGAGAATATTTTTGCTATGTATTATTTAATAAATAAGATCGTTAAGATGACTTGATCGATGTATAGCAGCACATTCTCGTCCAGATAAACAAAGTGCTGAAGGTAAACTCTTTTTTTTATTCAATTCTTAAATTTATTTCTATAGAAATAATCAAACGTAATAGTCCCGGTTATGCAGTTGGTGGTGAAGATAAAGATCATTTTTGGCGTATGGTTACTCTTTCAATAGAATATTTAATGGGTGTTGGGTTTGTTGTTGATTGAATTGCACAAATTAATTTTATTATTGATTATTTTAAAAAAGAATTCATAGTTTTGCAATTGATGTTGTTACATGTTCAGCACTTGATTTTGATATTTCAATATAAAAAAGATCAACGTTTAATTGATGATAGTTATACACGATCATATCTTAATACAATTGTTACAGAAGAAACAACTGCATGTCATTTACTTACAATTCATAATATTGCATATCAGGTTGAGAAAAATTGTTTTGAGAAAATATTATTTTTACTCTTTTTTTTTGTTAATTTAAATTTAGATGAGATTAATGTCTCGAATTCGACAAGCAATAAATGAATAACGTTTCCAGAATTTATAAAATACTTTATTTCAATTTATTATCAAAAGGACTGAGCTGTAGGACATAATAACTTATTAGTTCGAATGGATTTTACAATAAGACATTTATCTAAATAAATCTAGATAAAAATAAATCATGAAGAAAGAAATTTTTTACCTGTAAGCATTTTTATATTTACAAAAGTAATATTCGAGTTTGATCGTTACACCGATAAAAACGTGTATATAATATAAATCAGTCACACATTCAACTTTTCATTAATGAAAAATATTTGATTTTCTTCCGTTTTTACTATTTATTATACATTATTTTGAATAGAATTGAATCATTAATGGGAACGAAAATATCAAGACAACATCATCGAACAGCTCTTACACGTGATAATATTCCCCGTATTGCTAATCAAGAGATTCAAAATTTTAATGAGATTTTTTCTTCAACAGCTGTTGAAGTACCTTTAGAGGAAGAAAAATCACATAATCATTTAGCAACAAAAAAATATCGTTATGATCCAAATATTCAAAAAGAAGCACTTAATATAAGAAAAAGTCAATCAACTGGAGATTTATCTAGTGCAACGCTTGTTTTTACAGATCAACAATTATTAAATAATCACAAAAAACAAACACATAGAAATAAAGCATCATCATCGCAAAATTCAAGCAGGGTTCACTCAGATTCGACAACAAATTTCGATCATATATCTTCTTCAAAATTGAAAAGAAAGAAAATTCCATATAATTCTCAACTTGATTTTATTGATTCAAAAGATTTAAAAGTAAGTAATTTACAGATCAAAATTCCGAACTTTGTTAACCTCATATTGACAGTTACTAAATCGATAGAAAGGAAATGATTTTAATTTTCTCTATAGTATGTTCGTGAAATTGGTAAGGGTACTTTTGGTACTGTGCATCGTGCTTTATACAAAGGCACTTATGATGTTGCATTAAAAACATTAAATATTCAAGATGAAAATCCTAATAGAAGTTCTATATATGATGATGATGATGAATATATGTACGTAATACGTCAACAAGCAAGTGTAATGATACGCTTAAGACATACAAATCTTTGACGTATAATTGGTGTAACATTTTTTGAAAGCCAACAATCAAGTTGGATAACAGATTTTATGAGAAATGGTTCATTATTAGATTATTTTGAAAAAACATCGAGACATATTTTTAAAATCAAATTCATATTATGTATCAAAGCAATTAAATTATTTTGGAAGACAAATATATGAAGCAATGTTATATTTAGAAGAACGACATATTATCCATCAAAATTTAGCAACAAGAAATTGTTTGATTGACGAAGATGATACACTTAAAGTTGCTGATGTTGGTGTACCTTAGTAAACTATTTTCTTATAAATATATCAAATTAAAATGAAATATTTTAGTTTAACTGGAATTGATTCTTTCGTTCAGATGTTTGGAGTTATGTAAGAAGAATTTTATTCAAAATTAATATCATTTGATATTTTATATATAATAGGGTATAACTCTTTGGGAAATTTATTCGTTAGGTGAACGACCATTTGGTAATATGACTAATGATGCTTTACCAATTGTTTTAGAAAATCCATCGGAAATTCTTAGTCGATATCTTCCAAAACCACGTCATTGTGGTTCAGATGAAACATATACACATATTATTCTTCCTTGTTTAACAAATAGCGTTACAATGCGACCATGTTTTCGTGATTTAAAACAACGTATTTTAGATATTCTTGTGAACGAAATATAATCGAATTTAATATTGGATGTATATCTTTAATCGAACATGTAAACAGTATGTCATGTTCTATAGATTAAATCTACATACATCTTATTGTTAAGTAATTTCCAAAGAGAAGGAAAAGTTTTTTTTTCATCCTAGTTACTGAATGAAAGAATTTATACAAATAATAGTTGTGATGTATATTATTTTGTCTATACATATAAATATGATTAACGAATATATTAAACCTCACTGCAAATAACTAATAAAATTTGTGTATCTTCTATTTTTAAGCAATAATAAGTATAGTATTCTTATAAAAGCTTTAGATTGTTTTATAATTAAGAAAAAGTTCTTCATTATGATAATGATTGAAACAAAAGTCGAATAATCATTTTTGATACAAATCGGTTACAATTCAGTATACTAAGCACATGTGCATCAAACTAACAACAATTGTTTTGTTTATTTTCCACGTGTTACTAAGTTCAATCTAGCTATGTATAAGAGACGAGTTTGATTTTTTCATATTATGATTGTTATTGTATAGTTGAATTTTAGCAGTAATTTTAAATCCTTCTTCTGTATTGATGTTATATTTTCTCTCAATACTTATTTATATGTACTCCATTTCTGTGTTCTAAAAATGAAAATTTTTCACTTTACTTTGTATAACACAAATATTGACGTTATTTAGCATATTTATTTTTTATTAATAATTATATATTTACATCAAGTAGATAGAGTACAATTGTCCTAAGCACAATATAACTCTATGATTCATTTCACTAGACAAATGTCTAATATTTATGTAGGATTGTTGAATTTCAAGATCAATGACAACAGACTATCAAACATATAGAATACTGTCATACACGATCAGTGCTTTATTTGTATTTCTCATTTTATTTTACAAAAAAATACAAAGAAAAAACAGAAAAGAATTTACAAAATATTCATTTCAGGTATTCAGCTTTTCTAATTAATATAATGTTGATGAATAGAAGCTGGAATACCAGTTATTGGTTGATAATAATTATTACCTATTGGAGTAAAATCAACTTCACGTTCAACATTAACACGTCCTGTATATGGATTTCGATACAATTCAACATCTTGTGTATAGATTCCATAACCATAATTACCATAAGTTATAGTTCGATAATCTGTATTCCAAGTATTCATTGGACTAATAGCGGCAATTGGTTGAGCAAACATTTTAATAATAATAGTAAAGTATAATAAATTTATATTGGTATATGAATGTATGAAAATGAGAAAGAAACTTGTGAGTATTTATACTATATGATAATACACACCTGTATAATGATAATAATATAAATAAGAGCGTCATCACTGTACGTCATCAATGATGTCATAGCTATGTTGTTAAGTGTGATTGAGTCGATAAAGAGTATTCGTGAATATACTCTAAAACTGTATTATTTTTGTTTTGAAAGTGAAACGAAACAAAAATTTGTTTTTATGTTCAAAGATGGTTTACGATTTTCCATAAAATTATTTACGTAAATAAGAGAAATTCTCAGTTAAGTGTAAGACTATCGAGCATCTTAAATATCGGCTCCGAAATATATAATAGAATCAATCTTTTAATATTTAATAAATGATCAAATTTGTGATACAAATATTTAATTTTAACTTTATGAAATTACTTTCATTCTACGAATAATAAACAATAGAATTACGGCTGAATATTTTCAAATGAAATTATACAAGATGCTATTCCACAATTTCATGAGCAAGATTCACTTTAAATGAATTCAAAAATAAAAATTAATCATGAAAGACTTAATTGTACAAAACAAAATCTTAGAAATCCTTCCAAGTGTGTTGAAACTATTTTTCTAAGAAAGTCGAAACACTTTGAAGATATTAATCGTTAAATTCTAATCGATTTACAGTTGAAACAACATAAGAATTATCAAAACACATTATTAGAATAAATGTATTGAAAATAAAATAATTTTCAAGGATATTCACGAATATTCTTCATCGACTCAATCACACTTTAGAACATTTATTTTTATCATTGATGGGAGTACAACATAAATACGACATCATTGATGACGTATAGTGATGACGTTCTTATTTGTATTACCATTATACAGGTGCGTATTATCATATAGTATAAATACTCACAAGTTTCTCTCTCATTTTCATACATTCATACCAATATAAATTTATTATACTTTACTATTATTATTAAAATGTTTGCTCAACCAATTGCTACTATTAGTCCAATGAATACTTGGAATACAGATTATCGAACTATAACTTATGGTAATTATGGTTATGGAATTTATTCACAAGATGTTGAACTTTATAGAAATCCATATACAGGACGTGTTAATGTTGAACGTGAAGTTGATTTTACTCCACTAGGTAATAACTATTATCAACCTATCACTGGTATTCCAGCTTCGATTCATCAACATTATATTAATTAAAAATGTTGAATATTTGAAATGAATATTTTGTAAATTCTTTTCTTTTTTTCTTTGTGTTTTTGTAAAATAAAATGAATTTAATATAACGATAACATTGAATCAATATCTATTTGTTAAGATTAACAACTAACTTGGAGATCTTTGCCTGCTTTTTAATCTATATTATCAGGATCAAATAGTTATTCTTTTAATTTGATATAACAACTTGAGAAGAAGTCTAATGTAACCGATAATGTTATAGGATAAAGTGAAAATGAAATATAACTCATTTGTAGGTGTGAATACATGTGGTTGATTATTTTAAATGCGTGAATGTTGATTACACCGATACAAAATGTCAATGATTATAATTGATATATTTTTCTTAGTATCGAATTTTTTTAAAAATATTTAGAGAGCTTGACAAAACGGGAAAATTAAAAATTATAATTTCATAAAATGCGTTGACTGATTCTCTTTTTAACATATTTAACAAATTCTTTCTTAGTTTGATACGCTTTCTCGGTTAGTAATAAATAAATTATGTACAAGATCTTATTTACTTTATCTGGGGATACAGTTGTAAATGATGTAAAATCTTCATTATTGGATTATGCCAAAATCTTACTTAACTAACGATCAAGTATGTGTAGACAAAACTAATACATATATATTTTTTTTTCAACAAAAATTTTGCTAGTTATTCGAGAATTTCGTATATATTTCAAATACTATGACTCTTAAAAATCATAGAAAGAAAAAAATGTTTATTGCTTCTATCGTCATGAAAAAAAAACATTCGTATCCTTCTTTATATATTTACAATACAGGGAAAAAATCGAAAGAAACAAAGCTTTATATATTATAAAACAGGACTTTAATAAAAGAAAGAATATAGCGAATACACCTATTCATTTTTATTCTCACTATGAGGTATATTGGGAATTTTGTAATTTTTATTCGGCTCCAATTCAACTAGATAAATACCTTAGACCGACTACTGAATATTGTTTTCAAGCACAAAAACTAGTTTCAAATAAAAAGCATTATAAATATATCTTAGGATTAGCTACTCCTCGAGAAGTATTTGATTATGTTTGAACTCATAAATTATTAAGATATTCTCATTGGAAAAATCTTAAGGGTGGGTGTGGGCGTTAGTACCTCTTCTCATAACCACAATCACACCCACACCCACACCCACACCCACATCCCGGATGGTGTCGACATATGATTACGCGCCAATGCGATTACTTCGTCGCAAATGCACCGCAGCTACAATCATTTTAGCGCAAATGCGACACAGCTCCGATCATTCTCCTACAGTTGTGCGCGTCGCAATTTCGAGCTTTACAGTTTTCTTTTTACCCAAGGCTTTTTATTAAAAATAACTGCCAGAATCAATGTTTTTATTTGATCAGAAAGGAAGTAGTATGGCTTGCTTGTTGTCCTTTTCTCTCCTTTTTTTATCCATCGAATACATAATTTAGTAAAGTTGTTGTTTTTAAATCATTTTTTTGTCTACACAGACACACCTGCAATTTCAGTCGATGACTGTATATATACCAAAAGAAAGTGTATTTTATGACTTTTAAAAAAATAAGAAAAGAATTATTTTATTTTTTACTATAAAATCGGTGGCTCTCGTACGTCTATTTCACAACACTTATATAACAAACAGAACGAAAAGCAATAGAGGAAGAATTATCTTTACTTAACAACTCATACTATTGTATCTCACAATGGCAAAAACTTTGAGTTCAAGCTTTATGTTTTTATTCTATGTGTTATTTTTAGTGTAAGTATTAATTATCAAGTTCTACATGTTACATATTTTTTCTTATCTTCTTCAACAATAGAAACACATCAGAACAACAACAACAAAGTAATTAATAGTAATGACTATTATTTTTCTCTATTTTCGTCTTATTTATTTCTTAGTTAACTCAACGACACCCTCAACATGTAATTATACTGCATGTAACTCTCAAAGAATATCATGTTCATCAAATCTTGACTGCGATTGTTTTTCATTAACATCCAATACGAGTATAGGAATATGTGCTGTAAGTACTGTCTCCTGCTCAAGTTTTGTACGATGTAATATGGATAATGTAACTTGTTCAATCGAGAGTACAATCTGTGTGAATAGTGCACGATGTGGTCAACCAATATGCTTTCTATTAGCTATGGCTAATAAACAAATTTGTCCACCAAAAACTGTCACAAGTAAAAACGATTTCTAATAATTATTTTAGTTTTATTTGTTTTTTCTTCTTAAAACAGCTACAACTACAACATTACGAACAACAACTACAGGTAAGACATTTTGTCTTGAAAATCTGAAATTGATTAGAACGAAAGTAATTACTTGATCTAGACTAAATTATTTCTATGTTTTAATAGTACATACAACAAGCACAACTAAATCTACAACAAAAAGTAAGTGTGATTTCATTATATTTTCTGTTTCAAATGTGTTTATTTTGTGGCTGACTTATTTCTTTTGATTCAGTTACAACAACTCAAAAGAGTATGACTATCACTAAAATATCGACAACAACATTAACATCAACAGGTAAACTATGCAATATCGTTGCCACTGACTATAGCTCATAGCTTTTTTTCTTGTTTTGCTTTTCAGTTCACTTCAACAATGCAACTAGTCAATCTAGTACAACCGGTAGTAAGTAATCAACAAACCATTTATCTGAACTAGATTTGTAAAGACTTGAAATTCAGTTTTACCTATGTTTTTTGTTTGTTTGGATTGAAATCTGCAACAACAATAAAATAGACTACTACTTTTACAAGGAATCCTGGTTGATATCTATCTCATTCTTCTAGATTTATAATGAGTTCTATTTCGTGTGAAAATCAGTTCCATGTGATGAGATTTATTACAGGCATATTAAATTTAGATCTATACGAGTACACTAGTTCATAAAATTTTCAAATAATTTTCTCTAGAAACTTGATAATCCTTGCTATTATTAATTCTTTGTTGAATAAAGGATATTGTGAAACACAACCTAAAAGGAGTGTTGAAGTGTTTAGGGACAGAAATTCGCACGCGCTACCCACACCCACAGATGTGACCGACAGAGTGTCATAGATATGACCATTGAACTCATATTGTTTATGGAAGATAGATACGCTGGTAATTTTTTTTATACTAAGCCATTTTCTCTTAAATTTTGTAACAATTGTTAAAATGTTTATCAAGTGAGTTCATAATATGTAAATTATTTCTGTCTACTATTCCTATCGTTTATGCCAGAGGACAAGGTAAAAACCGTATCACAATGATACAATTAAACTATCTTTTTGAAGGTAGAAACAACAATTAGATCATGCTTCACAGTTCAATTCCGCTAGGGATTGCTCTAACAGCGTTTTCTGTTGCTGTTGTTGTTCTAATAGTATTGATTTATAGTTATATTCGGTGTAGCTTAAGGAACATTATTGACCATTAATGTTATATACTTATTGTAAAACAAATGAATCATCTGAGATCAAATTTAGTAACAGAATATATGTGAAGGTGGATCAGTTTTGATAGAGAATCCAAGATTAATTTTCTGTCATCAGCAGTTATCTCACCTGTTTTGTTTGAATTGATGAGATGGTTAAGTAATGATTGCAAAAATAATTCATTATGTAACAATACAAAGAAGAGAACGGTAAATAATCGAAAGAAAATTATGAAGACGTTATTGAATACACTGTTTTTAGAAGTAAAGTATTCATCAAAATGGACATCTGGAAAAGTGTTCCAAAAAATGAATCCTGCTGAAAATGTTAAGCACAACATATTGGGATGTAAAATAATTTCTATGTAATTGACGAGAAGTAAGGAGTATATATCATTTTGAAGTTAGATTTCGTTGTCTCGAATAAGAATGAATCAAAACTTGTTTTTAATATTGTTTTTTATTTTAATTTAAATTGATGAATTAATATAACATCAAGTCTCATAAATATTTAAAAAAATATTCAATGACTTAATTTATCTTTTTCTATACTTATATCAATACTCATCAACAATCTGTGAAGGCAAAAGAGTTCTTTTTGTCGTTTTTAGATTATAAAAATATTCAAGTTTGACTAGAACAACAACTGCAAACATGGGTAACAGAGCTGGACTATATGAAGTAATGTATTAAATAGAAAGAAAACTATTTTATTTTATATTTGAATATTTTAGTCGGCAGTAACTAACTCTAGTACAACACCATTAAGAAGATTGTATGTATATATTGTGAATGAAAATAAATCATCAAAAAAAATCCATTATTCTAGATACGAACATTGTGGAAAGCGAAGATTAATTTGCATAATATCTTCTGTTATTTGCATTGTTGTAATTACAGTTGTTGTAACAACTGCTATTCTATTGAAGAAAACTGAAAGTGAAAACAAATCAACCTTGGAAATATCAACATCAGCAACAACAGCATCATTATCATCATCAACAACAGCAGCATCATCATCATCATCAACATCAACAACAACAGCATTATCATCAACAATAACAGCATCATTATCATCATCAACAAATACAAGCGGTATGATTTTGTTAAAACTAATGGACTCTAAGAATTTCGTCAATACGATTTTCGTCCATACATCTGCTGGAATTTTGTCAATTGGCGACAGTACAGTAGACTTTTGCCAATTTCACTGTGAATTAGATGTACACTAAAAACTTTTTCTTAGCTACATTGAGGAGTGTAAGCTATCATATGCCTATAATAATAGCATTTATGTGAGCTCTGATATATATCCTTTATTAATATTTTTTCGTGACAAATGGCAAAATCCACTGTACTTTCACCATTGGCGAATGTTATGTTGGCTACAGTCTTATTGGTGAACGTCTCGCCACCCAAATTACTTAGTCTCTTATTTCAAAATATTCATAAAAGAGAAATTATTGTTAGAGTTAGTTTTTCTTTTTCAATCTTAAATATTTTATTCGAATAATGACATAAAATAGTTTAATCATGCATAATCGAAAGTCATACATCATACCTACTATAGAATAGTTTGGGTGTGTGTGTGTGTGCTTGCGATGTAGAGAGACAATCAGTACTCACGCCCTCAGAATTAGTGCAGTATATAATTATGTACTCCATGTACTTCACCAATTCCAAGGTTTTTGACAGAGTACATACCATAGTATCAATACATATATGGGAGTACATGACTATGTACTTCACCAAATTTAAGGTTTGTAAATCAACACATGATTTTATTTCAGTACATATATTCTTATCAATCAATTCTCAAAAAATTGTATAAATCTGAGCACATTTTGTACTCGTACTCACGTAGCCCTCTTTTCTATTGCTGTTGCTGTTCTACTAATATTAATTTATAGTTATGTTTGGTGTAACTTAAGAAACATTATTGGTCATTAATACTATATTTAATGTAAAGTAGAAGAGTCATCTGAGATCAAATTTAGAAACAAATTATCTATGACGGTGAATCAGTTTTAATAGAGATCTGAGATTATCATTCTATGATCAATAATAATCTCATCTATGTTGTCTTGATTGATGAGATCATCGAGTAAACTATATAATCAGACATTAAATACTGTCTTCATCTTTAGACTAATCTTTTATTTCATGTCTGGAAAATTTGTACATGCTTATATTTTTTTATGAGTGTTCATTACATAAGAAGATATGAGTAGGGAATTGATGAAAAATGATTGTTGTGCTATTTAATTTAAGTAAAACATTTGATAAGATATAAAGCATCACTGAGAATAGAGTTGAGAATAACTAAATAATAGAATTTGTGTGAACTAATAAAGAATAAAAAATACTTCACAGGAAGAATAAATGTTGATCGTTTGATTATATAATATCGTATTATCTAAATATATAAGAATGTAACTTCTAGGATGGTTTTCTACTGGCAATATGACTAATGCACGATATTTTCATACAGCATCTGTATTATCAAACGGGAAAGTATTCGTTACTGGTGGAAATGGTTCTAGTGGTACTTTAAATAGTGCTGAGCTGTATAATCTATTAGCAGGCACTTGGACAACTACTAATAGTATGACTAATGCACGGTATTTTCACACAGCATCTATATTATCAAATGGAAAAGTGTTAGTTACTGGTGGATACAATGGTAATGCTTATTTAAATAGTGCTGAGCTGTATGATCCATCAACAAGTACTTGGACAACTACTGGTAACATGGTTAATACACGATATGGTCACAAAGTATCTATATTATCAAATGGAAAAGTGTTAATTACTGGTGGACAAAATAATAACGGTTATTTAAATAGTGCTGAATTATATGATCCATCAACAAGTACTTGGACAAGTACTGGTAGCATGACAAATGCACGATTTAGTCACACAGCATCTATATTATCAAATGGAAAAGTATTAGTTACTGGTGGATTCTACGGTAATGGTTATTTAAATAGTGCTGAGCTGTATGATCCATCAACAGGTGCTTGGACAACTACTAATAGTATGACTAATGCACGGAGTTCTCATACAGCATCTGTATTATCAAATGGAAAAGTATTAGTTACTGGTGGATGGAATGGTGGTTACTTAAGTACTGCTGAGCTGTACGATTCATTAACAGGCACTTGGACAACTATTAATAACATGAATAATGCACGATATTGGCACACAGCATCTATATTATCCAATGGAAAAGTATTAGTGACTGGTGGATACTTTGGTAACGTTGCTAATCATGGTTATCTAAATAGTGCTGAGCTATATGATCCATCGACAAGTACTTGGACAACTACTGGTAACATGACTTATGCCCGATATTCTCACACAGCATCTGTATTATCAAATGGAAAAGTATTGATTGCTGGTGGATACAATAGTAACCCTGGTGTTTTAAATAGTGCTGAATTATATTAATTATTTCACACAAATTAACTTTCAGTTGTCTTACTCTTTCTCTTACAATTAACTCAAATTCTAAGTATTATTTTAGCTAGAAGAATGCTCATCTTATAACTTTCCTGAACCATTTCCTTCTATGTTTTTACTGGTTTATCACGCACTTTACTATTCCATCCCATATAAAAATAAATATCATTTTTTCTGTTCTTATATATTAATTTATTATGATTGACAAAAAGTTATAACGGATACAATAACTTTAATTATCCTTTCAAATATTCTCTTAGTTTTATAGTGTTGTTTTTCATAATATTTCATTGTTTTAAAAGTATTCGTCGGATTTAGAATGTATCACTATTGAAACATTTCGCCCACAAAACGACTACAAAATAAGTTCATGGATGATATAGATGAATAGAACTATAAATAACAGCAACAAATAATCTAAAAGACGATCCATAATCATATCAGATATACGAATGAATGAGAATGAAGATGTTTACATTTAATCCACCTTATTTTCACACGGATACGTATTTTAATGAAAGAGAATCAATAATAAGACAATTTTTATTTAATATCTCTTTGTGATCAGTAATTATTTTATTCGTAAATTAATTCATTCTAATAATTTCAGAAAAATGAATGTGATTAGTGCAGAATATCTATAGAGAAGTATCGTTGAAATATGAAGACAAAACTGTACACAGATCTACTTTGTCTGTTGCACAAGTGTTAGGTATCAATGCAACAAAATAATACTATTACAAACCATCTTCATTTTTTATGAAACTTGTTTATAGTATGTTGTTTTCGCGTATGTTGCTATTTCTAAATAGAACTAACGGAGTTCTATCAAAGAGATTCAGTTTGAACAGGGACTGATTTGTTACTCTTATATCTATATCATAAACATAAAAAAAATTGTTTTCTTTTTCTTTTATGAATTATGCAGAAAAAAATATTCGTATGAAAATGTCAATTCATCTGTTATAATAAATTATTTGATTTGCATTTTATTTTATTCATAATAATCAGACGATTTAGAGTCAGTATAAGGAAAAGAGGGACATTCATTGGATTACAAACCACACCACAAGTACATCTTGACCAGATATTTAGATATGAACACAATTACATTCAAAAAGTGATTCAGAAAATAAGCAAATAGAAAATAGAGACACCCTTTGATAATTAATATGCACTGTTAGCCAGTTCAATATTTTTTAAACAAATTAATCAGGAAATCGTCCTATCATCTCAAATTCTGAATAAGAGACACAATTATGTTTTCCTCTTTTTGAAGTAATGAGAATACGATAGCTTGTAAACGACAACGAATTATTGGATATTGTTTGTGTACCACCATACGCTCGTCTTCCTGGATTTTTCGCGAGACCTGCATCACCATCATAAATCTTAGTCCAACTTGTTCCAAAAACTAAATCCGATTCTTTATTGTTGCTACATTCAATTGGTATTGTGTTTGGATCTCGAGGTGGAGAATTTTTGGAATGTAGCCATACGAAACTGCACGAGAATGAACGGTTTACTTTTGAATGTTCTATAGAAACCAGTTTTTATTCCGCACTCATCTTGTAGTGAACTACATCCATTACGAATCTCATGATCGGAATATTCGGTATTTAAATTACCATCTAATGCAGTTTGAGGTGGTTCACCAGGCCAATATGTACCTGTGTTTTGGCCGGGTAAAGATAGTGAACGATCATTACCTGCAGTTGTATTCCATATAGCATAGAAGACTTCGTTTGTTCGTCAAAATATTTGTAACACTATATAAGATTACAAAAAAGAAAGAAAATTTACACTAAAGTAGAATAGAAAACTTTCCTACCAATTGGTTTTGTAACTGATCTTATTGGATTATTTTCTTTTGTAATTAATGGTGTTATGTCAGTTGATACAGTTACATTCATTATAGTTTCAGTTATTATACCTGTTTTTTACTGTTAAAACAATCATTGATGGAACTACAGCTACTGCAATCATTAATAAGATCAGACTAATCATACATAATCGTTGTTTTTTATTACCAACTGGAATTCTAAAATATTTTCACAATCTGTGATATACATACTTCAACTAAGACAATTAACATAGTGTGTATCTGATGATGAGATATTAATTTCTGTTGCCATTGATTCCAATTTACAATATTTTATTCTTTTTCCTGATCGTTGGTTTCTTTTCACTTGTTCACTTTTATAATTACTGACACCAAATAGAAGAGAGAAAATCGTTGACATTATATTTTTTTTCAGTCAACTATGAATAAAAAGCATTTATTTAATAAAACCGTATGTTTCTATTTTTTGTCTTCACTAACAAAACAGAAAGAGGCGTTTGTGATAATTACAGAAAATATTTTTATAATATCTCAAAACTATCATTCATATGTAATTGTTTATTATTGTTTTCATGAATATATGTTGATTTCGTGTTCACCATATAACTTCAATCGGATGCCGAATGAATTAAATTCTTTATAATCATTTCATCGTTACCGTCATTGATTAAAACAAAAAGTAATATTAATTGTGACACATGGAATAGTTTATAACAAGAAAAGAAAAAATATTTCTATGTTGATTATAAATTATACTCATGCATAAAATATAAATATGTAATTGTTTTCTCTCTTTCTGCATAGTTCTCATATACAACTTTTTGATCATTACAAAGAAAAATCTTTGATTCTCTCGTAATTAATGGAAAGTGAAATTTTTCAAAATTAAAAATTGAATTAATTAATTGAGTATAAGTAAAACAGCTTTATCTGTTAACTTTTTTTTATCAATTCAAACAATTCTATATTTATTTAACTATTTATACTTATATTAACGATAACTGCAGATATTGTTTGTTCATTTATAAGATTTATTTTAATGAAGATTAGAAAATTTCGATTAGTATTTTGATTTTTATGAAATGACTTTCTCTCTTGATATAAATACATATGTGTCAGTTGAACCTTTTGTTGATCCTAATAAACTAGTCTATAAGAGTAGAAAAAAAGATGTATTTTTTTATTTGGGAAGGGATATTAAAGTGTGTGATAACTCAGTAAAAATATGAAAGAAAACAGTTCGCGGACGTCATAAAATGAAAATTCTTCTAACTAAAGTTTTATTCAGAATTTGCATTACTTGCACAGAAAAAAATAAGATAAGTGAAAGTTGATTTGTTTGAAATAATTAATATAATTCTGCACTATTTAAATTAGCAGTCTTCCCAGCTCCACCAGTAACTAATACTTTTCCATTTGATAATACAGATGCTGCATGATATTCTCGAGCATTAGTCATGTTACTAGTAGTTGTCCAAGTACCTGTTGATGGATCGTACAACTCAGTACTATCTAAAGCATTATAATTTCGCCCACCAGTGACTAATACTTTTCCATTTGATAACACAGATACTGTGTGAATACCTCGTGCATTAGTCATGTTAGTAGTTGTTGTCCAGGTACCTGCTGATGGATCATACAATTCAGCACTATTTAAAAAACCACTATTGCTATATCCACCAGCAACTAATACTATTCCATTTGATAATACAGATGCTGTGTGACCGCCTCGTGCATTAGTCATATTACCAGTAGTTGTCCAAGTGCCTGTTGATGGATCATATAATTCAGCATTATTTAAATAACTAGTAATAAATAATCCACCAGTAACTAATACTTTTCCATTTGATAATACAGATGCTGTGTGATATTGTCGTGCATTATTCATGTTGCTAGTAGTAGTCCAAGTATTTGTTATTGGATCATACAGCTCAGCACTATTTAAACCAATACCACTACTGCCTACTCCACCAGTAACTAATATTTTTCCATTTGATAATGCAGATGCTGTATGATCACCTCGTGCATTATTCATATTGCCAGTAGTTGTCCAAGTACCTCTTGGTGAATCATACAGCTCAGCACTATTTAAAACACCGCTATCGTCAGCTCCGCCAGTAACTAATACATTTCCATTTGATAATACAGATGCTGTGTGTGAATCTCGTGCATTAGTCACGCTACCAGTACTTGCCCAAATGCCTGTTGATGGATCATATAGCTCAGCACTATTTAAAAAATTATAAGCATTGGATGTACCACCAGTAATTAATACTTTTCCATTTGGTAATATGGATGCTGTGTGCAAAAGTCGTGCAGTATTCATATTACCGGTAACAGACCATTCTAAACAGAAACATTTGATTGTATTCATTCTCGAAAGACTGTTTCTTGTGAAAATTTCGAAATGACGAAATCATGTGCGGAGCGCAGGCCTCGCAGCGAAATCGCCACAATCGACGCTAATTCCTGATTTCCTGATTTTTTTCACGTTTATTGTAGGGATACGCTGCGAGGCCTGGGAGCGTTCTAGATTTTGTAAAATGAAAATCGTTTCTTACTTTTTATACAAAGTTTTTCGAACTTTTTGGAGAATGCAAAAAGTCTCAAATTTGTTATAAAAAATCGTTCTTGATCAAGGGGGAAAAGCGAGACTTCAAGAGTGTGCACTTCATCGGTACTTCACCCGTACTTCTCCAGTACTTCATGTGATCTTTAATCGTGATATAAACTAGCGAATACAGGGATAACTGTATCTTCGTTTCTTCTTAAGATAACGATTGAATCACTCATAACAAGTTCACTATTCTTTTTATGAAACTTTCAGCTAGCTATAGAAAACTGTTGGATACAAAGCAACTACTTATATCTGATTTAAAAGTACCATTTAAGGAGACCGGAAAAGGTTACTCTGAAACTTACCTAACTGCTGCGTTGTGGTCATAGCTGTTGTTTGTGGTGAAGTTGTTGTCAACGTCACTGGTGCTGATGATGATGATGTTGTGACGGTGATAATAGTTTCTGATTTCTTCGGTGCAAAAACGACGAAGATTAACACCAGAGCAAGAATAACAGCAACAACTATTAAAACAATAACGGAAATACCGGTTATTTTAACCCAACGACGGTGCCACCATTTATGTGATTTATTATTTTCAGTAACAGGCTCGCTGTAAACTTGATTGGTGTGCATATTATGTTTCGTATGACACTGAAACGTATAAAAAAGAACACACTATTGTTCGAAGTTACTTTCTGTTTGCCAATTACTCTCACGTAAGTAACAGAAGATAACTAATATTATTTCCAATATGAATAGGAGTGCTACTTTATCTTTACTTTATAAATAAAGATAAGGATTTACTTTATCTTTATTTTATAAAGAACGACGATAATCTTTATTTTAAGAATAACGGTAATGAAATAAAGTAAAGCTTTATATTTATTTTTATAAAATAAAGATAAGGATAATCTTTATTTGCAAAACTATTATTAAGATAAAGAATAAAGATATCTTTTTTCATGGAATAAATACATATGCAAATACCCTGTATGACAACAGAATACATTTATTAATGCTCGTTGTTATCATCATCATCATCATCATTTTCATATGTCATATCATCAAAAAAAAGGATCACACAAGAAACGATATATGCGAAAAGTGTTATTCCATATTATAGTTAACTATATAATGTTATAATTTTTTGTGAGCTGCTCTAAGAAAATAAAAAAATACGTTTCGATAGAAAAAAAAACTTTTTTTTCTTTATTTCTTCGTTATTTTTAAAATAAAGAGAGATTTTCGTTACTTTCTTTTTTATTATAAAGTAAAATAAAGGTAAAATAACACCCCTAAATATTAAAGGTATTGTTATGCTCTTATCTTAATATGTTCGACGAAAAACATAATTACCTGTCTTTATTTACATATATTATAGAGGACAATACTAATATTAAGTATATGAAAAGTAGTGATATTTTATAATTGTATTCAATCGTTTTTATATTAAAATTCTAGTTTTTGATCATGTGTGATCATGTTCAAGTACATGATAAACAAACACTATCTCACATCCTCAAGTTGGACTCGTTGAAACAAATTACTAAACTGAATCGTAAAAGTGCCTGGATGAGAATTGATACAGAACTGTCACAGGCCCATTGACGATAACTACTAAGAAATTGTAAAGTCACTCTGTGAATTTAATCTACAACGGATTCTAATGTTTTCCTAGCAACAACTAATTCTTATTCTTGCCTTTTTACTCTATTGAACTTCGAAGTAGTGATAATCACCTTGTTGCTTTTTGGAAAGAGTGTAATAATATATCTATTAAATTAAATAATGGTGATGAGGAATCAAGGACAATAACACTTGGTATAAGTCATAATAGAGGAAATATTATATATATTTTCAACAATTAAATTTGTTATTGCATAGTTTGTAAGAATACTAGTAGTACTAATGAATAAAGAAAAAAACGACTGTCTTGCTATTCAGTTTTGTTAGTTATTCTTTCGATAAGTATATGAGTTCATTTGAATAAATTGGCGCTATATTTATACAGGAAAAAGAAAAGATCTTCAATGCGTAAATTATCTCTTGATCGAGTATATGGATGTTCAACTGCCTATCGTCATAGTATTATTGGTTTACCAGATAATCGTGTTGCCTTTCTTGCCGGTTCATATTTAGTTATATTTGATTGTTTAACAAATGAACAACGTTATCTATCTTTTTCTTCCATTGAATATCTTTATATATCATCAAGTGGTTTACTAATGGGTATAATAGATCGTTTCACACAAAATGGAGAATCACGTATACATATTTATTCTACAAAACCAATTGATTTATTATTTACTATTGAACCCGATCGTTTTGGTAGTTTTATTGGAATAACAATTAATACAAATGATAATATTCTTATGATATTACATAGTGAACCAGCATACATGATTACTATTCGTAAATAAAAACAAATAAAAATTGATATTTGAAATACTTTAGTTTATTTTTTTTCAGAAGAAATTCAAACTGAATACAATGAACAACAAAGATTCAATATGATCGATCTAGGTTCTGTACGCGCAGTTCATGGATCTGTTATTAATCGAATGACAAAAAAAGAAATTATACCTCATGTTGCATATATTAGTTTTTGTCCATATTTATCAACAATATTTTGTGCAACCGGCTCAGCATTGTTTAAAGTTTATGAAATTGATAATCAGAATGTTAATCAACAAATGATTCATTTTCGAGCTGAATTTTATGTATTTACTTGTCATTGTTGGCTTGATGTGAATAGTATTCTCGTATAAGTAAATTCCTGTAGTAATTATTAATAATTTTTTTTTCATTGATATTAAGACAGTAACTGATCATGGACATATATTTTGGATTCAAGATGGTTCTATTCGTTCAGATATTAGTCTTGAAGAATCAATTACTATTGATTTACATTTTCTGAAAAATAATACATTGAATGAAAATTCAGGATCTCCTTCGATCGTATCACCGACAAAGTCATTAGAAATATTGAACGAGGATTTGTTCATCAATGATAATAATTTAACAATAATGAATGAGAAACAAATGGATTCTTCAATTAAAAGTGATAAAATATCAGAAGAAGTTGTCTTATATCTTGATCTTTTTACATCAATCGAAATTTTACCACATTTTATAGTATCATTTCGTGAATATATATTTGTGGTAAGAATAAATAATTATCATAACATAATTTTTCCTTTTATTTAACAATTAGTTTACTCCTGTAACTGTTGAACCATTCTTTCAAATCATTGCTCGTTATCGACTACAAAAAACAACTGATTCTGAAATACATAATATTCATAAAATGTCCTATATATTCGATAATAATTCTTCGTTTATTTATCTTCTTACCGATCGTAATCAAATTTTTCGTTATAAAATTAATCAATTAAATCCTACAATTGAATTAGAAGAAAAATATATTTATGGTTTTCATGCATACAATATCTTATCTATTGGTTTATGTACTCATAAACCTTGGTTAATCACTCTTGGTAGTGATAATTGGATAAAAATTTTCGATTATAAAGATAAAGATAGACAAATTGTATCAAAATATATTCCCGATGGTGCATATGCAATAGCAGGTAAAACTATTCAATTCTCATTAAAATATTATTTATTAAAATCAAGGATCTGATCCATATGGTTTCCATATATGTCTAGCAATGAATAATCGTTTTCAATTATATTTAATAACAAATTATGAATTACGTTTAGTTCATCAATATGAAACACGTAATATACGAGATTTAGAAATGAGTCAATCAGGACATTTCATAGCTGTTATAACGAATAATTTAATAAAAATTTATTCAACGATACATTTCAATTTAATTAGTCAATTACGTGGTCATGTCGGAAAAATTAAACAAATTATTTGGTGTAAAAATGATTCCATTCTTATTAGTTGTGGAACAGATGGAATGATTTATATGTTTAATATTTTTACTGGTAAAAATATTTTTTTTGTAATCTCAATTTTTGTAATTAAATATTATAGGCATGAGAGAAAATGAAATTATAACAAAACAATTTCGTTATATCGGTATAACTGTAACGAGTGATTGTAATCGTATATATGCAATAACATCCGATTCAACAATTAAAATATTTCATAATACAAATCTTGAACAAGAATGGTCGATTGAAAATAATTTTCTTCCATCAGCTATTTGTTTATCGAAATCCGAACGTTTACTTTACGTTGGTATGACACATGGCATTATTCGTATATATACAATACCATTTACAAATGATTCGTATATTGATTTACCAGCACATTGTTCAAGTATACGTCGTTTATTAGTATCATATGATGATGAATATTTAGTATCAATTGCTGAATCTGCTTATTTACTTCTGTTTAAACAAACAAGAAATAATTTAAATTCGGTTTCAAGTCAATATCAATTTTCACAAATGTCTTTGAAAAATTTCGAAATAATCAATGAATCGAAACCAATACAACCGATGTTTGAATATATTTTAGTTACAAAATCGGAATTTGATGAACAGAAAAGAAAAATACAAGAAATCCAAGCAAGAATCAAGTGAGTGAAATAACTGAATTTTTACTTTGATTTGTTTCGTTAGTGAATTTGAAACAGAAAATAATTTAAAATTACGGTCAAAACATATATCATTTACTAATAATTTAAATACGTATTCGAATAAATTTCAAACAACTATGAAACAACTTATTTCGACATATGAACAATTAAAATCTGAAATTGCAAATAATAATGATCAATTTTCTCAACAAACTAATGATGTTGAAGAAAAATATGATGCATTAAAAAATCATGCTGAAGTTATTTATGAAAATAAAATGATAGAAATAGTTAGAAGATCCTTTTTTCTTTAGTTGGTTATTTAAATTATATTTTCTAGCTTTCACATATTCAAAATAGTCAAGTTGAATTAGAAAAAATTCAAATAGAATATAAAAATAAACAAATTGATTTTAACGATAAAGAACATATTGATTTAAATGAAATAATCGATAAAGTTAATTTAACACTTCAGTCAAAATGGCAATCAGCTGTTCATGATTATGAGATTATTCAAGAGAAAGAGTATGAAATTAATGAATATATAAGACAAATGGAAATCGATATTGATGATGAAATTGAAAATGTTAAAATTAATTATGAAAATGAATTGAAATTTTTAAATGAATATGTTAAACGTCTTACTATGAATGTATGTTATAGAATTTATCGGAAGAAAATTGAAATCTGAGCATTTTTGATTTAGGTGAGTACTCATCGGAAACGTTACAATGGTATAATTGTTCGAATGGAAACACGTGATGTTGAACGAAATGATATTGAAAATGAAGTTAAAGAATTATACAATCGTCAATCGGAATTAATTCAAAAACTTGATCATTTTCATTTCAGTATGAAAATTTGTATCTACTCTATTCGGGAATGTCAAGTAATCCGGAAAATTTTTGTTTGAAGTTTATTAATAATAGAAGACATAACAAGTAAAAGGTGTAGAAATATTAGACACAATCTGATGAGCTTATTTCTTTAAAGCCACCAGAAGCGAGAATCCTTCAAGAAGCTCGACACGATCGATGTCATCGTTATAGCAGCGGGTGTTCAGAGTGTGGATGTGTTGCGGGGAAGGGTGTGGGTGAGTGGGCAGTGGCGGATTTAGGGGCAGGCAATAGGGGCGATCGCCCCGCTTCAAAAATTTTTTTTTGGGTTTTTTACAACTAAAATGAACGAGAAAATAGGTTCACACTACTTCGATTGAACTCAGAAATAGTTTTTAGCCGAAATCGCCTCACCCTTCCAAAATCTTAGATCCGCCACTGTGAGTGGGTAAAGGTAAATGTAGGTGTGGATGTATAGGTGTGGATGTATAGGTATGGATTACTCTGTTTCCACATCAGTATCCTTACCCACATCCACACCACAAAACCTTTCGAAGTGATTTATTTCTTTTCCGAATTACCTGACATATTCTTCCATTCTTGTCATATATATTTATTTACTTTTTAGTTATTAAAAAGAAAGAAGATCGTATTGGTGTTCATGATATAAAAATCCATCGTTTACAACAACATATATTACATGTTGAAAAACGAAAATATGTTCTTGATTATAAAACAAAATCTTTATTAGAACGTATTGAACCTATGGATCAAGAAATAAAAGGTTTAAAAACAAATAATCAAAATATTGAACAACAATTAACAATTTTAAAACAACAACAAAATAATTTAATTCGTCGAGAAAATCAATATGAATTCAAACTTAATCAATCATATAAACAATTAAGTTTAGCAAAAATAAATCATCAACACATATGGAAAATTGTTAAACAACAAAAAGGTTTAGAAAACAAAAAAATAATCAAGAAAATAAACATTATTTAGTTTATTTAGAAGCAATAAAGAAAGCATTTGAATTTGTAGAAATAAGTTGTGAATTAGATACAATGAATGTGTCAAGAGAACAATTGAAAAAATTTATTCAAAATATGTGTAATACAATGGAAACTGAGCAACAAACTGAAAATCAATTAGAAATACAAGGATTTATGAAAGAATGGAATAATCAACGAAAATGGTTACTTAATCAAGTAATGAATGTTTTGAGATTTAGTAGAAATTTTTTGTTCAAGATAAGCGTGCGAGGGACTCTACCTGAAAACTATAGTCATTTGTTTTTGATTGCTCTAATAGATGCTCAAGAAAATAAAGCACATAGTTAAAAGCTAAAATTTGTCGAAAAACTTGAATCTCAGCAATAAAAATGGTCGTTTTTCGTATATTTCATAAGGATTTTAATACTAACTTTTTTAAAGTCAATTAAATATTTACAAAAGATCAATAAATGAAATTATTTTCTTTTCTTGAGATTACCTATTGTTTGTTTGCTGTTCTTTTCAATGTCATTTAAGTAATAAAATTTTATTAAAACAAAACCTTGAATAATAGTTATAAAAAGTAACTATATGAATATGACCTTGAATCAATAGTTTTCTTTTCTTGTCCAGTGATTATGATATTTACTTTGTCAGGAATATTCTTATCTTCTTTTCATAATATATAAGATTATTTCTTTATATAGTTACAAAATTTAACTAAATATACCGAAGAAAATAAACAAAGATTCGTTAATATTCAACGTGATCATCGTAAAGGTATATATAAAACATTTTAATTTCTTTTCTTTGTATTTTGTGCTTCATTCTTTAGTAATTGCACCATTTATAAATCAGCTTCGTGAATTACATAATTTATTTGATGAAATTCAAAAAAAAATTCAAAAACGTCTAGCATTATTAAAAATCAAAACAAATGATCAAAGAGAATTTTTACAAAATATATCAGATATATTACATGAACATGATAGATTTCATATAATAATAGATAAATTATGTCAAAATGAATTACATATTGAAATTCAAGATAAAGAAATTGATCGTTTAGCTTCAATTATATTTCGATATCAATATTCTACACCATGTTTAGAATTGAATCAAATAAAATCAATTCATGAAAATAACTTGACAAGATCAACAATTCCATCAACATCTATTCGATTATCGACGAACAAATAAAAATAATTTGTTTTATTCAGCAAAAATCTAGAATAATATATCAATTAGTTTCTTTTTTTATTAGAGTAAATGAAAGTATTAAATAAGGATTATTATTCAAGGTAATTTTAGATTCGATTATTCTTTGACAAACAAGGTTAAAATAAGTTAAACTCATCGATATTATATTTCGATATGTCTGTTAGTCAGTTTCATTATGAACAAACAAAGAAAAAAAACTAAAAGACAAGGCCTCCGGTATACTTCATATCATATTTTATCAAGCGATCATTGTCTGACGACAGGTGGTCGGCATATTGCAGAACGAAAAGAGCATTCGTACATGAGTGCTATTCAATACTTTCTCTCTCTCTCTCGCGCGCGCGCCTTCTTCACTCAACATAGTATTGTAGTTCCAACATTCTCCTGCCATTCTTTCAATAATCAATACTACTATATTTTCGTTCTTACACTCAACATATACAAATATAACGAATAGTAATCATAGTGCCAATATATATTCTTCGATTTGTTCTTCTTGTTCTCACATATTTAATTTTGAACGGAAAGAAGTCAGAAGCAAAACAAATTGGCACGTACAACATTTGACCTCTGTTCTTTGTTCGTTTATATATTAGATGATGCGAACATGAAGATTACAATCGTAAGTATTGACTCATCAATCAATTCGATTTTTTTTCTAAACTATTATTAACAGTCTGTTCAAATTTCGTTATGTATAAATCTATGTATACATTGAATATTTCATGTTCAATGTGGGAAGAAGAAAAAGAAAAGAAAAGTAATGCTTCATACTGATTGAGAAACAAAAACACTTAGACAATAAAGCAAGGCACGGCTCTTCTTTTTAGTCTAAGACAAGCAAACAAAAAAGAAAATGCCGACTAGTAGTAAAAAAAACAAAAATATATTGATTCAAATTAGCAACACTTAATAGACTGCATAATGATAGTACGATCGTTAGTATTATAAGTAAGGTATATAGGAAAAGACGGAAGGTTAAATAATTTTTGAAAAAACAAGCAGTAGTTTTATTGATTGAAAGGTATCAAAATATTTGTTGATATCAATAAGTTTTACTGTTCGTACTCGATGTAAGTCATCATGATGTACGACTATAAGTTTTTATATACCTTTTATAGTTATATGTGTAGGACTTCATGTGATAAGAATGTGTGAAAACAAGGCGAAGGAAAAAACGAAAGAAAAAAAGAGAAAAGTATATATTCTTCTTCGTCTTTTTTTTGTTATATTCTTAAAATTCTTATCTATTTTATTTATATCTACATCAAGTTAGGTTTATAACCGTTTAACTTATTGCAACTAACTCTATTGGTAATAATGACTAGTATAGCCAAAAATTCATCGACAAATTCATTTGGTTTTTCATCATCAAAAATCTTAGCATCACAATCAACATGCAATATTTGTAAACGTCCTTTCAATGATTATGAAGAACTTGTTCGTTGTTAGTATTATTTTATTTGATAAATTATATTTTCTTTAATTAATTAAATCTTGATTCATATAGGTAGCAACTGTCAGAGTTCATCTCATCAACGTTGTATAGAATCTAAGACAACAACTTACGATGATGATATTGATAATTATATTTGCGATAAATGTAATAATGATACAATAACGAATTCATCTCAACAATTAAAAGCAACTAATTCATTGGATAAAAATTATCGAGATTTTGCCGCTATACCATCGAAAACATTATCAACAGAAACAAATGTTGGCAATGCTATTCGGTATTTCGAAAGAAAACAACAAGAAGCTGTAACACCTACAACACCTACAACACCTACAACAACAACACAATTAAATGAACTTGATCGTTATCTTCCACCAAATATTAATGAAATTGAATATCAGCATCATAATGGTAAGTTTTTAAAATATGTAGTCAGAGAAAGAAAAACAATACGAAATGTTTTTACTATCGACAAGTAATGCATTTTTTTTACGTATATGTTGTTAATGGATCAATCTCAGTCGCAAAAAAATCTTATTTAACCGACTACAAAAAAAACACATTAGAATTAAAAAACTGTCTACTATAACGAATTAATAAACATTTTTTTTCAAAAGGAAATGTCATCTGTCATTCGAATTAGTCTATCAACATCTATGCCTATGCTTGATTCTATATGTAAGTGATATCAATTATAATAAAATCATTGAGGTTCCTGCATATATATATATAGTTATCATTTAACATAAACGTGATCAATGCATATAGATAGATATAAATCCTTGTTAAATGTTCCTTCATTCCTTTTTTTTCTTGTCTTCATCATCTTCATTTACATCGAAGTAGACACATATTCTTTATCAATTTTGTGCTTCTGTTATAATGTTGTATTTTTTTTATCAGTTAACATTTGTCTTTTTTTATTTGCATAGGTCAAGATAAGAGTGACAGTAGAACATCTCAACGAATTCAACAACAACATAATGATATAGGAAGTGACGAGGAAAACGATTCATCAGCAATGTTTCAAGCTAATTATCAATATACTCCACTTAAAGAGTATGCTGCAATGCGAAATAATCGATTAACAAGTGATCATAATGTTCTTAATTATCAAAGTAAATAAATAAAAAGAAACAAAAGACATATTTTTCAGAAAATAGATTTAAACAGATTTTTAAATGTGAAGAAATTGGAAATATAGTTATTTTTAGCCTTTTCTCCAGTGAGTTTATGTATATATTAGGAGGGAATAAAATAAAATTTATACTAACATTGGGTATATAGATAATTATATTTAATTATTAATTTCAAAAGATTATATGAAATCTTATCTTAATGGAAAATTTACTTTTGTTCAGATTAAAAGTATCATATTTTTATTCTAATCTTTATTAAATATCAATCGATATATATAAAGAACTTTTCAAAATGTTTTTTTTCTTCTCATTCAGCATCTCCTTCCGATCATCAAATAACATCACGTTACGGCGGTGGTCTACAATATACAAATCATGGTTATGATCCAACAGTTTCACGTCTTGTTGAACCTCCTTCAAGTGCTTCAATACATATAATATCTCCAACAATGAATCATCTATCAAATCAAAATCATCAACGAAATTTTATTACTACAACAAACTTACATATTAATGAGATAGCTCCTCCTCGTCAACAACAACCATCACCACCACCACCACCGTTGACTTCTTCAAGTCAATCAACTCCATATTCATCTCAAGTTCATGATACTGATACACCAATAGTGGTATCTCCACCTCATCAACATCAAAATGATCGTCATTCAACTGTTGGTAGTGATTCAGGTATTATTATAACTAATTCAAATACACAAAAATCAAAGGAAAATCCTGATGTAGAAAAAAAATTAACTAGTCTAATTCAACAATTAGGCAAACAATTAGAAAATGATGCACAAAAAATCAATGGAAAATTAGAATTAAAATTAAAAAATTTAGAAAATATGATACATCAACAAACACATATTATTCAACGACAAGATGAAGTTATTGAACGTTTAAAAAATAAAATACTTGAAATTGAAACAGATCGTAATCAATATCATGAAAAATTATTAGAACATGGACAGAATGAAACGAAAACTTTTATACCGAATGAAAATGGTCGAACTCTTACTCAAGATAGTACCGTTACACAAAGTACTGAATCAACTAGAAAATATTCTATTACATCAACACTTACATCAGATTCTAACAAGAAACCAATAAAAAAGGTTGAAAAATTATGATTTCAATTTTTTTTCTTAGCTTATAAAAATATCAGACATAATTAATCGCTATTGAATAAAAATAAAATACTTACTCATAAGATTATACATGTAATTAAAACGAGATATGTGAACTTATTTTATCAGACAGACTAATCATTAAATTAATTATAGAACTTTCATTTTTCTTCTAATTAAAGGTTCCAGCACCACGTATTGGTCATCAATGGTCAGCTACAAGTGATGAAATTAAACCAACAGTATCTAAACTTATAACAAATACTTCGACCAATCGACAACGAATACCATCTGATTCTTCCTCAGTTCCATCAACAATAGATAAAGTAACTTCAGTACCATTAGTAGAATCATCAGCGGCATCAAGTCGTCTTGATAATATAATTCATCCACCAGATACAAAAGATGTTAATAGTTCATTATCGTCAAATTATAGTTTAGCTCAAGTTCGTCGTCAAGATCGCCCACAAAATGTTGAACCTATTTCAATGGCACAACAACAAGTTATAACAAGTGTTCATCATGAAGCAAGTGATGATGATGATGATAAGAGTGTTGATGCTCCAAAACCAAAACGATTCGATTCATCAACGAGTTCATCCAGTTCATCAACTCAGCCTATTTCAACATCTAATACAACAAGACAACCACCACCAGCAACGACAACAACATCAGCAGTAAATCGAAATGCCAATGTTCATCGTAGTTTTGAATCATTACAAGCTGTATATTCAAATGATCAACAATCAAACGTAAATAATCGAACAAATTCACTTGAATTTGATACAAAACCGGTGCAATATAATGATTCAAGTTCGTTTTGTAAATTTCTTTCTTCTTCGTCATATTTATTTCGTTTATATTTAGAATCATCAATCTATATAACACCTGTTGAAGCAAGTCAACCGGCTATTCAAGCTAATAGTATTGTTAAAGGATGGCTTCGAAAACAAAATCGAGATTCATTTCTCAAACGAATTGAACGTTATTATTGTATTCTAACAAATGATGCTCTTTTAATGCATCGAAATGAACATGATCGAACACCTGTCAAAGCAATTAATCTTAAAGGTTATTTTTTAACATAAACAAAGTTTTTTTAAATTATATAATGAATATTTAGGAGCAAAAGTACATTATTATGATGATGCAAGACATGGTCCATCACTTGAATTAAGCTGGTCAAGTCAATTGAATGATACTAAACATTACCATGTAAATAGAATATTTTATAAAATCCTTCGAAATCTATAAATAAGAGTACATTCATCTTAAAATTTATTTCAGACATAAAACATCTTCTTTGCATTAGTTGTTTTAGTTACTATTTCTTTCGAGTGAGCCTTTAGGATTTTAAAAAGTTAAGTTGATTTCATCCTTGAAATGCTTCTAGTCGTATACTTACTTTTAATCTTGAAAATTAATTTGAATATTTACTATCGAGTCGGTGGTTTCATTACCTCTTTCACTAATTTTAGTTCTATGCACCTAATCCACAAGAAGCTGAACAATGGGTATCTGGTATTCAAACAACTATAAACAATGTGAATAGCAGTAAGTAATCTTATTTTTAATTTTGTATAAATACGAACAAGTTCTATTGCACAGGACGTTCTCAGGCACGAAAAAACTGATGGTATTGTTATTAACAATATTTATTCGATGCTTTTTAATCGTTTTTGTTTTTGAAAGAATGATTTTTATTCTATAATTTTTTATTTAGAGAATCAATGGGAAAAATATCGATTAGATAACTAATACAATTTAAAATGAAAATCGATTATTCGTTCTTTAATTTTCGACATTTTTCTTCCCGTCCATTTTTATGTGTTCATTGGTTTCTTTTGCTCATATTCGCTAATTTTGTTTCTTTGTCTTTTTTTTATTTTCTACACATATATAATTATTTATACCTCTACCTTTTTCTTCTTAATGAATAGAATAATAAAAATTAATGTATTTAAAAAGATTGACAAGACATTTTTCTTTTTGCGCGTTGAAATTTTTAGTTTTTTTTTTCATTCGAATATGTTGATTTATGTTTGAATTTATTTCAATCATAATGAAGAATGATTTATTAAATATTCAATGGAATCATATAATCATAATGCAAATAGAAAAAGAAAACTTAGTAAATCTAAACAACAACAACAAGAAGATTTAAAAAGAAAAACTAATTGTTTTGGACGATGTTATACTAGAAAAAAACATGAGAATATACCGATTAAAAAAGAAAAAATACTTGAAGAATCTAATGCAGATAAAATTAGAAATGAACAAGTTGTGTCTATGCCATATTTAACACGCTCACCATTGTATAATGAAACGACATTTTGTCCAAAAACTACTGAATCATTCTATGATCCATGTATTGAATGTACTGTACAATATGGACCTGATATATACGAGAATCTTTCTAGAAATTTTCAATCTATAAACAAAGAGTTAAATGAGGGTGATAAGGTACTGAACTGTAGTGAGAGATGCTACATGTTAAAATATGTTTTTATCTATCTTTAGTCTATTTCAATGGAACAATTTGATATATTTCCAAATGAAATTAAAAACGATGTAAATTCATTTGTCAATAATATTATCGGTGATGGAGTTGATCGAATATCAGAAATAATTAGAACAAATACATCGGATCAATACAGAGGAAAAGAGTTTATAATAGATAATAAATTGTCAACACATTCTGGACATCAGTATTCAGGACTTGTCTTTGAAAAACAAAGTATATCATCAAAGATAGTAACGATTTTTCGTGTATATATAGTTATATTATTTTAGGGTTGCAGAAAACATCTCAGACGAGTCATTATTCATCAGTTGATCTTCCTATAAATGATATATCATTACGACCCGATGTACATGGATATGGTAATATGAAAGGAGAGATAGTTTTTAAAGATTATCAGATGATTTTTCATGAATAGATTGGAATTTAGCAACAAATTTCGATCAAGAAAATTCATCACGAAATCAAGAACCTTATAGTAAATCATAAAATATATAAAAAGAAAAAAGAACTAAGTAATCGAATATTATAGATTGGGATTATCAATGGCTATCACCATCGGTTGATTCAACTTCAAAAATTCATTTGATTGATAGTTTGTAACATCACGTCTACAATTCAATTAATCTATTGATAGTTCTATTTCAGATTGCATAAATGACACAAAGATATTTCCAGCAGATAATAGTAGTATTAATTCTTCATACAGTATTACATCAGTATTAGTATCAAATAAACCACAAAATTCAAATATATCTTTGAATATTTCACATCAACAAAAATCTTCTTCAACTTTATCTCAAGAAAATAATCCGCTACCGACAATAAACTCATCTCATGTTCAATTATCACGAACAATTGTGAATGAAAAAGATCAACGAGTTTTAACCGATATAGATACAAAACAATTGGAAAATATTACAAGTATAAATACAGAAGATCAAATCATTCCAACTAAAACAAACAATACTGTTGCGTCAGTTCATTCTACATATGACGATATGTATATACATTTATAAATTCATTTTCGTATATAAAATTTTAATATATTATCCTATCCTATTATAGAATGAATATTTGGCGATATTTATTTGAACGTTTTTTAAATTTTATGTTACCTTCAACTCACAATACTACTGATGAGAATATCAATTTATCTTCGTCTATCATCACATCCAACACGCATTCATGGTCGACATTGACATCCGTAGAGACACAAAATATGAATCAATCAGATAACATCGGTCCATGGTGGGGTCGACGTGATGTAGACGATCAGACTCCTGCTACATTTATATTCACTAATGAACCATTAAATACTTGGTATTCCATAGGAATGATTGCTCATAACAGACAAATGGACACATCTATCAAGAATAGATTATGCTATTCTAAATATTGTAGTTATCCAAAGACATGTCACTGCTGTTCTACTTCATCAATAAATCTAAATAACAGATCATCATCTTCTTGATTTACATTGTCAAGACTTCTTTTTCATCTTCATCAAACTTTGCTCATCATATATATGTATAATAAATCATCTGGTTATTTCAATCGTTTGCTTATATTTACTTAATAAAGTGTAAGAGAAAGAAAAAAAATGAACGGAAGTAAACAAATAGATCGACTACAACTGTATGAATTCACTCATTATTGACCGATCTATCTTCGATTGCGTAGAAAGAGAAAATATATTTCATTCAAAAAACGATATATCATTACGAATAATATTCTAATCCATCATTATGTTTAACAATATAGCTGCTAAGAATATCAATAACCGTATAAAAATAAGAAAAGAAATGCATATACATTCTTGATACTTGTTTATGTTTCAGCAAATGCAATAATGAACACCAAAGGCAACATTCTGATTAGATTCTTTGTCTTCCTCGATAATGATCATTAAAATAGTATTTCTTATTTTTCTAATATAATATAATTGCTTTGATCATATATTCAAAAACATGCTTATATTGTACATTTTTTATGCACGTTATATCTGACAAATATGTTGTTCGAGACGAGAACAAAGAAAAAGTTATGTATGTAAGGTGTCCAGACATGTTAATCAATTTCCATTTGACACTTAGAATCGATAATTATCCTACTAGTTCTATTTGCAAGTCACATCTGTATAACAAAAGACTTGTGAATAAAAAATATAATGAACTACAATATGTTGAGGGTGAGATGAAGAGATAAAAGGTAATTCTTCCTTCTTGCTCTCGCTTTCTTTCTCTCCTACTCCGAGTTGTTATACAATGTGCCGCTATACCAATCAACATTTGTCTTCTCTTTTCTCGTGAACAGATCGATAATCCTTCCCACACTTTCTTTTGTTAAGAGTTTATACACGACACAATACTTATTGAACACTTGGTTATTTGACTAGATTCTCTTAATAATCAAAACGCGTTTGGAAAATTTTTTTACTTTCGAATGGATGCAGATTTAGCAGAAAAACTTTATCAACGCATTCGTCGTATTGAATCCGTCGAATCATCATCAGAAACATCATCAATCAATGGAATTATTGAAGATAATGATCAATTAATCTCGTCAACATGTTTTGAATCTCAACGATCTTCTATAAGTAATCCATATGATGAATTTTCTCGAAAACAAATACAAAATTTAAGACAAATATTTGAAAAGTAAATGAATAAAAAATTTTTATGTGTTATTATTTTTTTTCTGTTGATAGATATGATACAGATAGAGATAAATCACTTGATTTTAATGAATTAAAATTCGTGATGGAAAAATTAGGTATCCCACAAACTTATTTAAATTTGAAACAAATGATTAAACAAGTGGATGATGATCATGATGGGAAAATATCTTTTCGAGAAGTAAAATAGATCAATGATTTATTTTATTTCACTATTCTTTTCTTTTTTAGTTTTTATTAGTTTTTCGTAAAGCGATTGCTAAAAATATTGACGCAGATAAAGAAAAATCAGTTCTTTTATATCAATTCTATTCGATGCTTTTTGAAATTGATGTTGCAAAAGAAGGTGTTAGTGTTGCAAAGAATTTTTTTGAAGCTAAAGTAAATATTTTTATCGAATAATTTTGTTGATTTAATGATTTGATTTAGGTAGCTGCAATTAAAGATGGCGACAAATTTCAACGAGAAATTCGTGACGAACAAAATCAACGACGTCGCTTAGAGGAAGATAAAATCCGTCGTAAATTAGCATTTCAAACTCGTCTTGCTCTATTTCAAACAACATGAATGCACGAAACAAAACAAGATATCATCGATTCTGTGATAAACTTTGTCAAATATAATCTATGAATTTTAAATTGTTTAATGAAAAAATAAGAATCTGTTTGTGTTTTTTTGTTGAATAAAAAACAGTTTACACTCGTAGACTAGAAGAGCATGTATAAAACTGGACTAACAGTATGTCACAAAGTGTATAATCAAGTCATGAAATATGTAATGTCTGTGTCAAAAAAGGTCATGTATTTTTTTCGATTAGAAATTTTATTCGATTTAATAATAGAAAAACAACTATAGGGATTCCATTTGACATTACTATCAAGTGAAGAAAAGTTTTGACTTGTTTCCATATGACCATGACCTTAGTATGCTGCACCCAGAAATATACAATCGTATAGAATCTAGCAAAAATTTACCTTCTCTTACGGTACATGCACCATTGAAGAGAAGGACTATTCGTCTACCATCTCAGTCGATATATGTCTCCTTCCAGAGTTTGATATCAGCGTGAAATTTTTAGTCGCTTTTAAATAAAAAAAAGATTATTCAAACCCTAAGAGTCATTATCAAGGGTTTTATTATAAATACAGTTGCTCACAATTCAACAAATATTTTCTAACGATTGCTTTATTTATTAGTTCATAAATTAACTCTCAGACATCAAGTCAATGATAACGATAACTAATTTAATTATCATTGAAAGCATAACAAATATTTCGGTATGATTGCTATTCCGATATACCCAATACATCTATCATAAGATCATCTTATCATTTCAATATGTTTAGTATTCATCTCACTTTTTTATTTAAATGTGTATTTTAATATAAAATCAAAGACTATACATGAATGAAAGCAATAGTGAATAGAAAAAAACATATGAAAATAAATTTTGTATGTGTTTATATTAATAAAAAAAAATCAGATCACATCGAAAAAAAACATGTCTTAAAAAATATTTGTCAGTTATAAAAAGAACACAATACAAATTTTTTTATTTATTTATTAGTTAACAATAGCATTCACTGATCAGTTATATTATTCACATAAACACACAAGCATAAAAAAATCGTTTCATTCGAAGTATAGAAAGAGATTAAATACTTATCTGATCTCATTCTATATGAATAAGAATTTCTTTTTAAAATAATAACTATACAATGGAAGACATTTAACGGATATAAAAAGTTAATCAGCCATAGAAATCATCACTTACATTATACAAAAATAATTTAAAATGAGATTGTTTTTTATGCATAATTATTCAATATTTTTTTTCTCAACGATATTCATCTCTACTATGATATTGATTAATCAAATTATCAAGCATGGTTCCTAATATAGAAAAAGAAATATCGGGTTTTTATTTCTGGAAATTTAAATCAATAAAACAATATTACCGTCTAATAAACGTGAATATCCTTCATCATAATCAAGAGGTGAATCAGTTTGGTTTATATATCTAACAATTAAATTATCTAAACATATTGTATCCATTAGATTATTTTCTGCATATTTTTTAGTTGAATTATATTGACCTTGATCTATTGTTCGTTTTGGCGGATTATATAGTTCCGGATCATATATTATTTGTTGTTGTTGTACAACTGGAGGTTCGTATATTATTTGTCGTTGTTGTATAACTGGAGGTTGAATAGTAGGATAGATATTACGTCTACTTTCATTTTCAATTGTAGCATTCCGTGTCTATTTAGAAGAGTATTCATCAAAATAAAACATATATGCCATTCAACTTACTCTTTCAGCTACGAAGTCACGACCTAAATCTCTTAAAAGATCATGTAGTTCGAAATCGATAAAGTCTTGATTAACATCAGTTAACACACGTGTTTGTGTTTCAGGTACCATATCACGAAATCTTAATGGAATATCTGCTCGTATAGGTGGACCTTCTTTATAATCTATTCTTTCTTTTGGAGACATAATTGTATGAAGATTTGATGCAGGACTTGGAATATGTAGCTGTTGTTGAAGACCAAGTTGACGTACCCAATCATCGGAATATAAACTAAATATATATATATATTTCATTGTTAATCATCATTCGAGAAACATACTGAGTATTATTTTCTCGAGCGGTATCAATGTATCTATTTATATCGAATTCGTTTGTATCAGTTGAATATTTAGGTACTTCGATATTTGTTTGTCTCTTATTTAAAATAAAAAAAACAAATGTTTGTAGTTTTTATTATTATTTTACATTATTTACTTCATGATTAAGTTCATTGATTGTTTCATGTAAAATATCAGGTACAAATTGATCCTCAATACAGTGACCAATAAATTCTTCTACATAACGATGAGTAGCTGCTTCATGTGGTACAAAATTCAAAAGTGTTGGTTCCTAAATATATATATTTTTTCTTCTTATATCTGTTACGATACCAATACTTACTGGAACAATTCTTGGTCCAGCAAATGTATCAAGTCGATCATAATTTCCAAATCGTGCATTTGGAAGATTTATTAACACTAATTGATTTGATGGTAATGTGACCGCACTAGGAACTTGACTTTGTAATAACGATGGTAAATTTATACGTGAACCACCAGTTTGTGGCTAAACAGATTTGAAGTTAGACTTTCGTACTCGTTTATTGAAAAAAAGATTTTTTTGTCTGTATAAACCTACCTGTTGTTGTTGTTGCTGCTGTTGTTGTTGTTGTTTGTAATGAGCAGCACTGTATTGAATATGACGTAAATCGCCTGGTCTTCGTCCATATGGTTCAAGATTATCAGCATACCTGTATTCAGCTGTATTCAAACCCAATGCATCAAAATCAATAGGAGCACTTTAATATAAATTTAGAAAATGTATAATATTAAGAATTTAATTTCTACACTTACTATCGGCTAGAACTAATTGGTGGTAATGCTGAAACAGCTTGATTGAAATCGTTACGATTTTTATAAGATACAAGACCAGGTGGTGTTCCTATCCTAAAAAACATATTTTTTTAGATATCAAAGTTTTGTTTGTGATTATATTGTAGAATTCAGTAATCTCATAAACGATCAATTAATTTCATAGTTCGAAAGATTAAAAGGTAGACATATATTTTCAAAATTAAGATTATATAACTCAATTTACAAATAAGATTTGATGGCAGATGTAATAGATTCATTTGTGAGACATCATGCGTTAGAATCAATATAAACAATTTTCTTTTTCGTCCTTTTCCGCATGATTGCACGAAAAGATTACACTGTTTTATGATCATCTATAATGTTTATTTATGTACTGGCGATGATTGAGACAATGATTATCAATGATATTCGTGTTATCAAATTAAAAAAAACGTTTCTATTGAATAAAACTTGTACTATTTACTGATTCTATCGTGTTCTATTAATGTCATCGTTTGGTTCTTTTTTTTTTGAAACGCAAAAAAGAAAGAATATAAATGCATTTCTAGAAGTGAATTTTTGTTTTTGTTTTTTGTTCGACGTACTTCAAAACGAAAAATATTGTTTTAATAATGAAGATATTTTAAGTATCAAAAAAAAATGAATAGATAATTCTTCTTAAGATATAATTTCTCAAGGTTTAAATAAAATACTAAATAAATACATACGGTCGTAATTTCGGTGATAGACGACCAGCATTATGAAATCGTGGTGATTTAATAGGTTCTAAATTACCTGGTTCTTTCCAATCAACAACATAATCATTTAAATAATCAAGATATGGTTTTTCCTTTGTGTCTGGTTTTGGTAGTTTCGCGAGTGTATCCATTGTAGTCTGTGATAATTGTAATCCATCTCTAAAGTTTCATTAGTTTTATATTGCATTTTTTTTTCTCTTTTATTTGTATATGCTAATGAAAGAAAAAGAATACCCTGATGAAGCGGCAACCGTAGGATATAGTGCTGCAAATTCAGGTGCAGGCACAGGTGCAGATGGAAGTGGAGGTGGAACATGAACTGGTTCAGGTGCTGGTACTGGTGTAGGAGCAGCAGGTGCAGGTGGACGGGGTGTTTGAGAAGGTGTTCCACGAGCTGTTCGTGAATTTACAGCAGGTTTCCTTGATGCGGGTTGAGACCTTTGAGCATTTGTTGGCTTTCCTGGACGGATTGGTTGTCTTGATGCCATTGAACTTTTCAAATATTAGTTTTAGAAAATCAATTATGGTCTATTTTATATACACGTAAACGCAAAGCATTTCAATTATTTTCGATCCCATGGAAACCAATGCACATTCTCTTTCGTTTTGAAAAATAATTTTTTTGTTGATTCATTTTTTATTTGAATAAATATTTTTCTAAAAAATTTTTAAAATTTCAACTAGCAAATATTTTATTGGATGAACATAGAAGCCAATGAGAAGAAATCTATTATGATTCATACTAATAATAGACTTTTGCTTTTTTTACTATCAAATGTTCTGTTATCTTTTATTTGACCCATATTATTATGATTATGATTATTAATGTCAACCATTAACTATATCCAATAAATATTTATATTTAACGAAGACATTATATGTATTAAATTTTTTCTTTCTATGTTTTTATTTTTAAGTTAAATTTGGTAAGTAGAAAAAAAAGTTTTTATTTTTTGTCTAAAGTAAATATCTGTGCTCACACATATATATATATATATAGATATACCTTGACTTCCTTTTGTTCTTTTAAGTGATTTTGTTTGTGCAACTAGTCGAGTCTTCAAGATATACATTTTGATTTTCTTCCTTTCACTCTTCACATCATCTAATGTATATGTCTTCATGTTATATGATTTCAATTTCAGCCTTCGCTCTTTCTCTCTTATGCTTCAAATGCATTTTCTACCTGTGACTGAAAAGAGAAAAACGAGGCGGTAGTTGCAATAGAAGAAAAAAAACCTCATTTATAATGTCGTCGTTCGTCGAATATTTGTCACCTGTCGTCGGTGATGTCGTTTTCTTCTCTGTGTGTCTTTCTCCCTCTCTCTCTCTCTCTCCCTCTTCTCTATATTCTATGAGTAATAACAAGTGTTTCATTGCGCTACTCTTTCATTTCGTTTTACACAAGTGAGCAAAGCAGAAAAAAAAAGTTGATTTGAATATAAAAAAAACAAAATATTATGAATGATATTTATTGGCACGATAAACGAAGCATGTCTTCAAAACAACTTTCAACACCTCCACCAACACAGCCTAGAAGATCGTATGAAAACACTCTACGAACAAATCATTATCAACAAATGAATATACGATTAAATTCACAATCAGCAGTAAACGATAGAACGGCGACATCATCATATCGTCAATATCCAAATATCTCTAGTCGATCATATAATAATAACACAGATTATCCATATGCTTCGAGTTTATATGGAATTAATCGACAATCATCACCTACTATCGTAACTTCCTCTCCGCCGTTATATTCAACTCCAAATAGACCCCAGACAGATATGAGAAATCAGTCTCATCATCCGCAACAGCGACATTTATCCCGTAGTATGAGTGACGATTATTGTATTACAAGATATCAAGAAATAAATAATTTAAATGGTGAAAACTATGGTGATAATGACGAAAATGGAGATGATGATGATGAGCAGTCTTCTGAAATTTTCAATTACACCTTCCATGATACAGGTGTAAGTTTATATTTAGTACCAGGAAAATTTCATAAACATATCAAATTGATATTATTTACCACTTTCTCTTACTCATTCCCGTCTTTTTAGTTATTACAATAACATATTTGAGTGAATAATAAGTCAAATGAATTCCCTTTTTTTTTCTTCATTCTTTTATATCATACATATATGTATGTATATATATATATATTGAATCAACTTGAGATTATATGCACTGTGAGCTTTTTATACCAAACAAATTATTCTTTCCTCTTTTTTCTATAATTTTATTCTAATCTATCATTATATGTGTATACACATACATACATATATATATGCATATATATATTACTTCCACAAAAAAACATTTTCAAGTGGATAAAAATTAATAGAGAACATATTTTTTATATGTTATGTACCAGATGGATAGGCATAAAAAAAATCTTATTCATTTATGACTATATTTTTTTCTATCTTATGGGAGATATTTTTCCATTAGATGCACTTCTCTAATACTTGACAAATCTTTTTTTTTTCTATATTTTACATTACTGTTAAGACAAACCATAGTTCGTTTGTGGAGTATACAACAAAAAAAAAAAGGAGAAGTACATATTGACATTACAACATCATTTTTGTTGTTTTCGTTGTTGCATGTATTCTTCCCTGTAACTGATTGTTTAAGGATTTAGAAATAATTTTTTTTCATCTTCTATCTCCTACTCGTTTTTTTATCGTCCCTACATATAATTTATTCATTTCAGTGAAATTAACTTGTTTTTTTTACTTTCTCGTTCTTATATTCGTATAGAATATCAAACATAATCATGAATGTCATGTATAAGAGACAGAGACAAGTATATTTGATATATATAATGATTAAATTGATGGGTTAGCAATCGATAAAAGAAGGTCAAAATGTTATTTTTATTTTTGTATTGATGTGTATAGATATAAAAAGAAGAGCGAACAATATGCGAGTAGATTTGATGACCTTCCTTCGTGATTACGCATACTCACGTCCGTTCGTTTTTACTCGCTCGGCCAGACACTAAATGAAGAAGAAAAAAAAAACGGAAAGAAAACTTTTAGGTTATACATTGAAACAAAGGAAAAGAGAAAAAGAATAAGAATAAGACGAAGGAGAGAATATGTAAAGAAACAAAACGAAAATTATCATTTACATTGAGACAAAACGAGGAAAAAAAAAGAAATAGTTATTGCATTCTTCTTCTTTACATTACTCTAAATGTAAAAGAAGAAGAAGAAGAAGATAAAGTAATGGGTTTAACAAATTCTCGACGATTGTGGCGAGCAAAACAAACGTCTACAGTATATTCATCATCTTTTTCCAATAATACTGATGATAAAATAAAGAACCAAGAAGATGGTGGTGGTGATGATCATGAGAAGAAGGAGGACGGCGAGAAGGCGGAGGAGGAGGAAGAAGAAGAAGAAAAAGAGAACAAAAATAATGAGGTATGTTTCTAATTGATTTATGAATATACTACAATAGTCAAGAGAGAACTATTGACATTTGTCTTTTTTTTTACACATCATATGTGCATGCATATGATTGGATTCATAAGTGCCCTTCTCAACCTTGGTAGACATGGTTCACTTCAGTTGTTCATTTATTCTCTTTTTTTCCGATTTTCTCTCTTTTATTCTTACGAATACTTGCTCTTTCATATTAACTGATAAGAATGTTAAAGAACAAAAAAAAAGAATTGATCATTAAATAAATATATATACAATTTCTTTTCTTTTTAAAATTTCTTTCAAAGGATGCTGAATCACCTGCCGCTTCACCTATGGCATCATATCGTCATATAGGAGTTTTAAATTCTCCTAATATAAATAATAATAACAACAGTAATCATCATCATCATATATCATCAACTTTACATCGTGATCAATACGATTATTCTACGAATAAATATAATCAACAACAACAACAACAACACCAACAACAACATCAACAACACAATTATAAAACTTTAACGATGCCAAAAACTCATTATCAAAATATAACGACTACGGCAACGACAAAAGATTTTCTTCCAAAAGATAATGGATCAAATTACTTAACAGCATCATCATCATTTGATTCTGAATCAAATTCAAATGGAAATGAATCAGCAAAGCGTATTAATAATCCCAATGGAAAATTTTCTATACAAAAAATGATTAGACATGGTTTTTCATCATGGCGTACTCGAAAGAAACCATCATCGGCATCATCACCACCACCTCCGCCACCATCGTCAGTCATTTCAACAAATACAATCTATTCAAATAATTTAACTTTACCACCATCTCATGCGCCATTATCAACTGGACGTTATATCACACATTCTGATGATTTTTCTCCAATACCTCCTCCAACAGCTGCACGTTCCATATCAGTTGACTCAATAATCAATAGAACATCACCACCAAAAGTTGTTAATACGCAACCAATTATTTTTTCATCTCCAAGAGCAAATAGTGTTGATAGTGTAACAGTAGATTTTGATCGACCACCAACTACTACTCGAGCGTTTATTCATTCACCATGGAGTAGTTCATCCAATACTACAACAAATAATACGACAACTACTACTCCTTCTCATTCTCATACAGAATCAATATATCGACCAACGCCAGTGCCTGTTGCTCGTGTCTTACCTGTACAGTTTGCTGAACAAAATAAAATACGTTCACCACGATCTCCACCAGCACCAATACCACCACCCCCATTGTCGTCATCTACTGCAACGCCACCACCTCCGTCACCTAATGTACCCACAACAACGACAAGAATAATTGAAACACATAATAGTACAACTCCGGCAACAGTAATTAATTCAAATCCACTTAAAATTCCACCACCTGGTAACTACTTTTTTCAAATTTAAATTTAATCATACATATTTATTTTTTTTATTTCAGTTGCACCTAAACCTGATGCTAATCGTCTTACACCAATTCGTACAAATTATTTAAATCAAAATAATAATAATTATCATTCTTCATCTTCTGTTAATCCTACACCGCCCCCACAACCAGTACAACCGCCTTCAACAGCTAATATTACCCTTAATACAATTCCATATTCTTCTGTAACTACAACTGCTAATGAACCGCGTCGTTTAATTTTACCTGAAAAATATATATCAAATCAATTTAAACCTATACATGATAATAATACAATTGTTTACACAAATACTACTCCGACTCCAGCAGTACGTCCTGTAGCTAGTAGTAATATTTCAGCATTACAAGAAAAATTTCAACTACGTTCATCACCTGTAACTACAGCAAATCCATCTGGATTCCCAATAACAATAACATCAACAAATACGAATAATATGTCTCCAACTGTAAATAATACATCTTCAACAATGATGAATTCTTCATCAACACCAACATGTATACAAACAAATAAACAGATAACTGTTCAAGATATTGATACAACTAGATATGAAGAAATTCCAGCAAAAGAACCCGATCTAACACGACGACCAGAAAAAAGTGCATTAAAAAAACCGAATGGTCTTAAACGTCGTGTTATACCAGTTCTTCGAGAGAATCAACGTCCATCACCACGTCCTAGTCCAAAAAATAAACCAGTTGTTATTTTTACTTCTCCAACATCGCCCAATGATGAACATAATGTAGATAATGCACATAATGAAAATGAACCTTCTCCGTCTGAAGATGACGATGAGGATGATGATGATAATGATGACGGTAATAATGATACAAAAAAACCGTTTGCTACTGTTAAACGTAATGATTCATTAGCACGTTTTCTCAAAGATCGTCCATTACCTAATGAATTATTTGATAAACATATTCTTGTTAAACCAGTAGATGAACGTAAAAATGAACGTGAAACAATTGAAACGAAATTAGAACGAAAATTATCATTAAGACCAAGTCTAGAAGAACTTGAAGCACGAAATATTTTACGTGCCAAAACACAAGCAGAATTAATAGCAGAAAAAGAAGAAAAGAAACGTTATTTAATACGTAAACTTAGTTTTCGACCAAGTATTCAAGGTAAATAATATTGATTTTGTTTTTGAAAATTCTTTATGTAAGAATTCTTATATTTTATTTCTAGAACTTCGTGATCGTAAAATAATTCGTTTCTGTGATTATATTGAAGTATCTGAATGTGATGATGTTGATCGACGTGCTGATAAACCATGGACACGTTTAACACCACGAGATAAACAAATGATTCGAAAAGAACTTAATGATTATAAAAGTTTAGAAATGGAAATTCATCCCGAAAGTGCAAAATATACACGTTTTCATCCTCCTTAACAAAAAGAATATTTTTGTATTTCTCTATACATTCAAAAATTGTTGATCTGTTGCTCTTTCTTTCATTTTCCTTTTCTGCTCAGATCTCTTTTTTTTCTAAATTAAAGCAGCAGACAAATTTTTGTTGTTGTTATTATTCTTTCTGCCTATTAATACTTCTATGTATACATACATATATATTTTTGCTCCTATTGAAATATTTCAAAAAACAAGTAGTGTGTACCATTCTATCGATCAAATATTCTCAATGTATACTTTCTTATCATACATTCAGACCGGTTCTTCGTTCGTCATATTTTTTTTTGCTGTTGTTATTATTGATGATGAACGTTAGATTTTCTTTTTTTTTTTTTCATAATATGTCTTTTCTTTTATTGTTCAACACACTCAAAACATGTAATAACGAATATCCATAAATTGCACATGTTTTCTCAATTATTTAATATTTTTTTGTCTTCTTTGTAAACAATGGTCTGACATTTTTTTTGTCTATTTCAAAAAGAAAAATAAGTTGATAGACAAAAAATATCTTTTGATTTATTTGCTATACTATCTATTTTTCCAGATTTAGTCAAAGAGAAATAAAATGTCAACAGATGATACAGATTCGACATCGTTCTATCCAAATACATTGATTGTTAAAGATATTTCAACATTTATCGATAATTCTGAATTTGAAAAAGCTCTTAATTATCTGACGTCATTAACTGAACAGCAAATCTATGATAATACATGGGATTTATGTACTTATCTATTTTATTTATTTGAAAAACCATCGGAGAAATTATGTAATGAATATGAATTATTTTCTCAAGATGCTTTAACATATGTAGCACAACATGGTAATTCACGTGAAATGTTAATTATAATGCTTGAACAATGTGATAAATTTATATCGGATAATTCATTTTTATTTCATATAAAATTATTTTCTTTTATTATTAAACGTTTACCATTAAAACCAAGTTTAATTACATCACTTCGTGATATTTTCTCATTATTACAATGTCATTTAACTACACATGAATTACCAACAATTGATAATGATTTTGCAGGTAATGATTTACTGATATTTAATCATGATCATCGTGTTATTCATCTACATAAATTGACACAATCATATATTGATTTTTTTTGTGAATTACGTGATTATTTTTCTACAAGAACTTCCGTGGATATTTATCCTATTTTAACAAAATCACTTATTTCACTTCTACAAGGACCACTTTCAGCATTAAGTTATGAACCTATTAATTCACAAGAAAGTTTATCATTTACATCAATTCGTCCATTATTAGATTGTCTATTTACATTGAATCCAAATCCAATATCATTAATTGATAATAAAGAACAACATTCCGTTCTTATTTATTTACTTCTAACAAAAAATGATTATTTTGCTCGATTACCTTCGGTTTATTCACGAGTATTTTATTTATTTCTTAGTATTCCATTTATTCAACAATTAAGTTCAGATCGTGACCGTGTTATGTTAACAGAAAAAGCATGTGTACTTGTTTCAAATGTTTGTTCACATTTAACACCATACAAAGAATTTGATCAAACACTATTAGATAATGATCAAGTTCATTCACTTATTGATACATTAAAAATGTTAATGGTTCAATCACCAGCTCGACAATATTCACCATTAACAATTGGAGCATATCGTTCATTATTTCGTGCATTTAATCCTCTTGGTCGTTGTAATTTTCTTCGACAACAATTAGCTAAAACATCGTATAAAGAAGATTCATATCGAACATTTCTTTGTACTTTAGTTAAAGATGAATTTCTATATGATTATCAAAAATTATCAAGTGAAATTTATAAAGGAAATACATTATTTCAATTATTAGATCATTTAACTTATTTACCAAATGGTGTTGAAAGTGATTTATTAGAAATCTATGATTGTCTTTGTTCAACACTTAATTTAATTCGGTTTATTGGTTTAATTGATAAACGAAATATAAATCGAACATTATTTTGGACAGAACGTTTAAAAATTTCAAATGAAAAGTTTATAAAACCATTAAGAAAATCTATTGATTTAGCTCGTGCACATTATAAACTTGAAATAAAAAATAGACTCAATGGTAACAATCAACAACAGCAACAACAAGCAGATTCAGAAATATTAGTCGATGATAAACCATTATCGATGCCTAGTCAAGAAGAACAATTAGAAACATTACATAAATCAGTAACAAAATTTGATATTCTCGATTGTATTCTTAGTAGTTTAAGTGATACATTTAATGGTGAATTTTAACTGACTTAGAATGGTTTTTGTTTTTGTCTTATTCATATGTTATACATTTTAAGGTGAAAATGTTTCATTTTTTGAAGATTTTAATAAAAGATTCAATAAGATATAATCACAATGTTTATCATTATATAAATCATAATTTAGAAAAAAAAGATGCATTTTAAATAGTACAATTTTTAATTATAGATGTCGCTCATTTCTATTCGATAATCTCTCACCTGTTTATCAATGGTTTTCAATTGACCATTAAAACTCTTCGAAACTTTCTTTCCAACAAATATTGGTTGCTGGATATTCCAATGTTGTCCTCCCTCCTTCTTTATATATAATTGTTTATTTATTTCCTTGTTCTATCATTAAAAGATTTCATTTTTATTTTTTATACGATTTTCGAAAAAAAAATCCGTCCGATACGATGATACAAGATTTTAAATAACGAAAATGATCAGTTTATCATATGTATTTTCTTTTATTTATAGATAGGCAATTATGCCACCACCGAATCAACCAACTCAACTACCAGGCCAGCAATTGCCAGCACGAGAAAATGGCCAATTTAAAAAATTGGTGGTAAGTTATTTAATGTTTTCCACTTGATAATAATCATTAATTCATTATCTATTACTTGAATAGCGTTTCTACGAACAAAAACAATATAAAAAAGGTTTGACAGCTGGTAGAGAAATATTAAAAAAATTCCCAAACCATGGTGGTATGTACAAAATAGATTTGTATACATATAAAAGATTTTTAAATTCATTAAAATTTATTTTCTAGAAACATTAGCTATGAAAGGTTTAATCCTTAGTTCTATGGGTAAAAAAGAAGAAGCGTTAGAAAATATTCGTAATGGAATTAAAAATAATATCACTAGTCATGTTGTATGGCATGTCTACGGTCTTTGGCAACGATCTGAACGTAAATATGATGAAGCAATAAAAGCTTATAAAAAAGCATTACAATGTGAAAAGGTAATAAGAATAAGATTACTAATCCTTTGACGACAAACTTAGTTCTTTTAAAATAATTAATTTCATTTATCGTTCGAGATGTATAGAATGCGTTCTGTAAGTTGACAGTAATATGAAACAGAATGATAAATATTTAGTTGATATCTAGATAACTTAACTTGAGAACTGATAACGAATATATGTGTCATCGGTCTTCGAAAAGCTGAATTCTTACTTCCGATGCGCTTTTTTATTTTAACCCTTGCGTTATAGAGTTTTTTTCTGCATTGGAACTCAGTGAATCTTTAAACTAGCTATTTTTAGAGATAGGGACTAGTGACGGATTGAGTGGTGGGTGATGAAGCGATCGATCATGTGTCGTCGAAAATTGTAGTTTACGGATGATAGGGACTATTGTAAAAGTAATCCATGTACTTTCGCTCGTTACATATAGAATGTAAATACTACTAAACCTTGTTATACTTGGACAGAAATTTTAACTGCTGACGTCTATTAATTGTAAAGCTTATGGAATGTTTTCATAAAATAACGAAAAGAATTTTGAGAGAATGGAAGATTTGAAAACAGTATCTGTAAGTCAAATAATACAGAATTTTCCTAGAATATCCTATTTAAATCGCTTTCAAGAAATCGCACACCAATTTCTGGGAATTCTCCTATAAAAAAAATAATAATTAAAAGCAGGTGTAGCTTTCTTTATACTATCAGAACATGATGGTTAATTAAACGTATGCGCTAAAGTCTTATTTAATATTAACAGGACAGTTTGACAATTCTTCGAGATTTATCATTATTACAAATACAAATGCGTGATCTTGATGGTTATAAAGTAAGTATCTAATACATATTTGTTTTTTGATATACAAAAACTATTTAAAGGAAACACGTCACCAATTATTTAATTTAAAACCTGGTCAACGTCAATCATGGATTGGTTTTGCTATGTCATATCATTTATTAGGTGATTTTGATATGGCACAAAGTGTTCTTGAAGAATTTCGTAAAACACAACAAGATCGTCCAGCATCAGCACCAGACAAACCATATGACAATGAACATTCAGAATTTTTATTATATCAAAATCTTGTTTTACGTGAAAATGGACAATATGAAGATGCTTTACGTCATATACAAACTCATGAAAAAGATATTTATAATAAATTAACATTAGCAGAAATAAAATATGATTTATATATGCGTATGGGTACAAATGATCGTGCCGAAACAATTTTACGAGATTTAATTGAACGTAATAATGAAAATAAAAAATATTATTATATGTTAGAAAAATGTTTAAATTTAACAAATATTGATGATAAAACAAAATTATACGAAAATCTTATGGAAAAATATCCAAAAGCTGATGCACCGAAATCAATAAGTTTACAATTTCTAACTGGTAAAGTTTCTCTCTTACACCATAAATACTGATTGTAGTTCAGCATATTTATACTTTATGGTATTCTTGTTTTAGGTACATCATTCGCGAAAGCTATTGGATTATATTTACAACGAGGATTTGAAAAAGGTGTACCATCTCTCTTTCAATCTGTTAAATTTTTATATGCAACACCAGAAAAAGTCCGTCTTATTGCGTATTTATAATTTTGAATATTTTTGTTTTTATAGGTTCAAATAATAGATTCACTTCTAGCCACTTATTTAACTAATCTAACTAAATATGGAACATTTGAAACACCATCAAGTAATCTTTCTAACCATTTCATAGATTTTAAAAGAGAAAATTTATTATATAGATATTGAAAATCCAACAGAAGAAAATGAACCAGCTACAAGTCTTCTTTGGCTTCAATATTATCTTGCTCAACATTATGATTATTTAGGTGATATAAAAAAAGCTTTTCAATATATAGATCAAGCATTGAGTGATACACCAACATTAGTAGAATTATATATGTTTAAAGCAAAAATATTCAAGGTTTTATTTTTTCAAATATCGAATTTCTTTATAATATTTTTGTTTAACATAATTAGCATGCGGGTGATTATCAAACAGCAGCTTCTTGGATGGATGAAGCTCAATTACTTGATACAGCTGATCGATTTGTGAATTGTAAATGTACAAAATATTTCTTACGTGCTAATCAAATCAATACCGCACTTGAAGTTGCTGGAAAATTTACACGAGTAGAAAATTTTTATTCGTGAATTTAAAATTTCTATTTTGTTTTGTAGGAAAATTCTTCACCAGCAGAATATCTTCGTGAAATGCAATGTCAATGGTTTGAATTAGAAATAGCACAAGCTTATCGTCGTTTAAAAAAATATGGTGAAGCTTTAAAAAAATGTCATGAAATTGATCGAGTAAGAGAAAATTATTATTTATAATTTTCGATTCTGTATAAATTTTATTTTTGTTTAGCATTTTCAAGAATTTATTGAAGATCAATTTGATTTTCATTCATATTGTCTTCGTAAAATGGTACTTTGTGCTTATGTTGACATGCTTAATCTTGAAGATCATATAAAAAATCATCGATTTTTTCGACAAGCAGCTGAAATTGCTGTTGAAGTAATTAGAATAAAGTTTACAAATAAGATTATATGAAATTTTTATTATTTAGATATATATTCGTCTTTATGATCATCCTCCTTCGGAAGAAGATAATGATAAAAATGACAATCTTGGTATGAATTAATTCTATTTTAGTTTATATATATATCTAATAATGAATTTATTCAATTTTCTAGCGAATATGTCAGCTGCAGATGCTAAGAAATTAAAAAATAAATTACGTAAACAACAAATGCGTGAACAACAAGAAAAACAAAAACAAATTGAAGCTGAACGACGTAAAAAAGAATCTCAACGTCATCGAAATAAAGAAGATGGTGAAGAAGAAAAAGTCAAAGAAGATGAAATTGTTGCTGAAAAACTTGAACATGTAACAAATCTTCTATTCTCTCCTGACTGATTCATATTTTTTTATTTTTCAGTGTGAAAAACCATTGGAAGAAGCTATGCGATTTTTACAACCACTTGAAGATTTTTCTGGTAATTTTGTTCAAACACATTATTTAGGTTTTCAAGTTTATTATCGACGAAGTATGTTAAAATGAAATTCAAAAAAACTAAAAAACTATCATATAATTTTTCATTAGAAAAATATTTATTAATGTTACGTTGTTTGAAACGAATGAAAAAAATAGATGCAGATAATGCGAAATTTCATTCATGTTTAATGAAATTTTTACAATTAGGTTTGAATAAAACTATAGGAAGAAAAACAAAGTGACATGATTTTTTTATTTCTATAGTACAAAGTGAACCTATAACTGATGAACGAGTACGAACATTAATCGACGATGAATTAAAAACATTTGGTGTTAAACAAGGAGATTCATATAGAAAAGTTGAAGAGGTTAATGCAGAATTTATTAAAAATCATTCAAATTCATTAACTCATCGTGCCGAAGGTAAATATCAATAATTTCTTGCTGATTAATGAAACATTTTCATATGTATCTAGCTGCAAAAATCATGCTTCTTATCAATCCAGCAGACAATATCAAAGCTATTGAATTCGTTACAAGTTTAGATTCAAATTTTATCGATCAAAATTTAAAAGTATGTGTTTTTAATACCAAAAGTATTGCATATCTAAGCAATGAGTAATCATGAACGACAAATCAAGGGGGAAAGAGCGGAATCCAGTTTCCCGAGGATTCCAAAAAAGCGTCCCGGAGATTCACAAGGATTCCAAAAAAAAGTTCTGGGGATTCCCGAGGATCTCATAAAATCGTTTTGTATTCCAGATTTTGCTCTTTCCCCGCTGCGATAAATATAATATATTCACATTCTTCTACTTGTCTCTTATTTATTTAGACATGCTCAAATATTTATGAAAGTATGCAAATGGGTGAATATGGTTCAATTGAATCTTCTACGCTTGAGAAATATCGTCTTGCATGTGGTCAACGTTGGCCACAAGCAAATATTTTTCAAATAAATCCAACATCAACATTTGATCAATCTCAACCAAATTCATCTTGTGATAGTCAAATAAATGGTGGAGGAGGAGGAGGAGGAGCTACATCAGTTAATTAATTTTCTTTTTTGCCATGTGTGATCAGTAGTAGTTGAACAACAAATACAGTATTCGTTTTTGTTCGTATATTTCCGTACTCCTTTTGCAAAACAAGAAAACAAAAATCTTAGACATCTTTTGTTGTGATTGTCAGAAAAATACTTTTTGTTTTAATGACACATGAGTGTTGTAAGATTTTATATTGATTTTTCCTATTTGTCAAAAATAAAAAACGAAAAAAAAACAAACAAACAATCAAGACAAATTTATTCGTAGTTTGTTTTATAGATTAAATGTCTGATAATATAACAAAAAAAATTCTTGTACTTGGAAGTCGTTGGAGTGGTAAAAGTCTTTTAATAAAACGTTTAGAAGATCTTTGTTCATCATCGAAAATAACAAATGATGAATTTATTTATACAACAACTACTATTGGAAAAACATTAACACTATTGAAATATAAACGAAATCAAACATATGAATTACATGAACTTGGTGCATCATTAAGTTCTCTATGGAAATCAATTTATACGAAAAGTGATTTCGATAAAATTATTTATGTTATTGATTCAACCCAACCATGGTCAATTTCATTTATATTAGAACAATTAAAAGAAATATTCGAACAAATACCAATAAAATCAAAAAATATTCTTCTAGTTTTTAATAAAGCTAATGAAATTAATTCATTAAATAAAACAGCTTTAGCTGAATTACTTGATTTAGATTCGTTTTGGAAAGGAGAAATGGATGTCATTGAAACAAATGCTCGAACCGGAATGAATTTATCAGCATTACTTGAATGGTTAATACGATAGACAATAAAAACTTTACTTTTTTTAAAATAATCTCATTATTTGTACATACAAATTTGTTTTTTATTTTGTAGATGACTGAAACCTTATCCGAAATGACTGAAAATGATGAATCAATATTTTCATCACTTCATTGTATTCTATCTCCAATATCAAAAGCAACTGGTTCAGCAACATTTACATTAAATGATTCATTATGTACATGTCTTCTTAATGGACCTGGTGAATTACGACAACAACAAGATGCAATAAATCGTCTTCAAGTTGATATTACATTTCAAGCACGTCCAGGTAGTAACAATACAAATTCAACATCAACAAAAGATAAACTCATTGAACAATGGCTTGAAACATTAGTTCATTCAACTGTTTTAACAGAACATTATCCACGTTCACAAATCAATATTGTTATTTATGAAGAACAGAATTTATCTGGTGAAGCAACAATACTTGCATGTCTATGTAATACACTTTGTTTAACAATGCTTGATGCAAATTTACCAATGAAATATGCATTTGCTGCTGTACCAATTATACTACATCCAACAAAAGGTCTTTTAGCATTACCAAAAACAAAAGATGAATTAGCATCAACAACTTATTTTGTTTTTGTTTTTGAAATAACATTAAATGAAACATTAGCTATGCATGCAAGTGGAGAATTCGATATGAAGACACTTGAACAAGCGATAACTATAGCTAAACCTATAGCTGGACAAATATTTCAATTTTATAGACAAGAACTTGAAAAAAGATTATCCTAAGAGAAAATAATTCAATAAACATTTCTTTGTTATTTATCGTTAGGCGATACTTTTCTCTTTTTCGTTTTAACCTTAATTTGATGGTCAGGATTTTTTTCTCTTTCCTAGGTATATATATATCGCTAATGACAAGGACACGTGTCAACTAGATAAAAGAATATGGTGTATGTCGAAAAAAAAAAATCACCTGTCTTGCTGGATAATATTCATAATAAGAAATTGTATGTGATATATTGATTCTAGAACGGAAGTCTAGATTATTTGTTCAGTCGTCTGTTATAATTATATTATGTTTAAGTAAAATAATAACTCATCTTCATTCGGGATGTTATTAATGAATGCTGACAAGCGTATTAACTTTGTTCTAGATGTTGAATATTATTAAGATATAAAAAAAAGAAAGAAGGAAAATGTTCAAAGCCTATGCCTCTTCTGAATCGTTAGTGAAGGATGAAGAAGAAGAAGAAAAAAAGCCGATAGTAACATTACCATCAAATAACAATACTACTAATGGTAAGTAAAATAAACTTGAATTGTCAATCAATATAAAATGTCTTTTGATAGAAAGTACTTGGCTTGAGAATAGATCGTTTTCTACTGAGCCGCCAACTATATCATTCCAACAACAATCAAATGTTCCAAAAAAATCAAATCCAATTCCTGATATTAAACCAAAAGAAGAAAAAAAACCTATTATTACAACAAAACCAATTCAAAATAGTATAACGAAAAAAAATGAACCTAACAAGTTCGTATTTAGATTTTTCTCTTACTATAACAGATTAAATATTGACATACTTATCTTAGAGAAAATAGTATTGAGTATATCATCTTAAAATTTCTTTTTTAGTGAAGTATTTTATTTGGATCGTCGTCGTGATCGTGCAAATATTACTGTTCAATATACTACTGGTATTCCTCGGTATGGAACGAAATTTTGTAATCAACGTCCATTAGGTTCACGTATTACAAAATCTTCTCGTAAACAACGAATTATTCGTTATTTTCATCAGAAAACTGAAGATACTGAGAATCGATTACCGGATAATTTTGTTACTGTAGATAATCGTCTTGAACAATTGAATATTACTGTTCGTGAACAACCACAATCATTTGAAGCTTGGAAAGAATTAATTGATTATCAATTATATCTCTTTAAAACAAATGGACAACAAGATAAATTAACTGCATTATATAATAAACAGCTAGCAATTGTTGATCGAGCATTAGAAGTGAATTCAAATCGTTTACAATATCGTTTATTAAAATTAAATATTCGTACATATTCACATTTATTTGATCATGAAATACTTTTAAATGAATGGAAAATTTTAATAAAAGATTGTCAAAAATCAAGTGATAATAGAACAATAAATGAAACATGGTTTTCCTATATAGAATTTTTACTTAATCGTATTGAAGTTTTTTCAATAGTGAAATTAAATGATGAATTTATACAATATTTTTCAACATATGCATATCATATGCAAACACGTAGTGAAAAAGAAAGAAGATTTCTGTTATCTCATATGATAGGTATGTAATAATAAACTTAAAGGGCTTTTACACAAGGTTTAGAAGTACATTTTATTGAAAAGAAAGCTTCCGTGACCTCGATTGTATTTAAATAACCCCATATGTATTGATACGATCAATCATGCAATGCACTTGTGTAATTAAAGAGAAAACCTAAAAATGTGATTTTTTTTATAGACATGTTTCAAATATGGGCATATGTATTACGTGATGCTGGTTATTGTGAACGAGCACTTGGTCTTTACCAAACAATGCTTGAATTACATATAGATTTAACACCAGAAAATAATGTAGATTTTTCAAAACGATTAGAAACATTTGAAAAAACTTGGGATACTGATAAATCTCGGTAAGCAAAATTCATTTCTATCTCAAAATATATTTTTTTGTGTCGCATTAGTTTTGGTGAACAGACTGATATCGATAATCCAGTTTCGTATATTGATAAAGAATTGTCTATATTATCGGAACATGAAAATGAATTATTTAATTCAACTTATCAATCATGGATATTAGTTGAACAAACAAGAATAGATTTTTATCAAAAGAAAATTCTTAATCATGGTATTCATTTTCATACGAAACTCATTCAATCATTAACAGATTCTAGTCAAATTGATAATGATATATTAAATATATCATTTCAAAAATATATTCGTCCATTTCTATTTCAATTAAATGATCAACGACAATTTTTACAATTAATTATTTATTATCTTCATTTCCTTAATGCTCTACCACAATTAACAATTTTACAAGAAATATTAAATAAATTTAAAATTTCATTATCAAATCATTTACAAGAACAATTATTTCTTGATAATGAATTCATACAACTTTATTCATTGATACATCCAATATCAATAATACGAACAGAAGAAAATTTCTCAATAGAATATATTTCAAAAGTTTATGAATATATTATTGAAATACCATCATTAAAATTATATAAAATCGAATTTATTCTTCTTTATTGGTATTATTTAGCAAGAAATATTCGAGAACTTAAACAGCAAAGTAAGTTGAATAATACATACTTTCTTTTGCAATACGCAAGAATGCTTGACGAAATTCGTCAGACTTCGGCGATGGGTTTTTGTAGAACAATTTATATATGATACGAATAGTGGAGCCGAGACATTGCATAATCGTCGTCGGCAAAATATTTTGTTGTTTTTAAGATAGATAGTGAGGAAAAGTATGGCATTTTTACTGGAAAAAGATTTTATACACTTTTCTAGTAATACTTCACATAGAAAATATTGAAACTATAGGATTTCCTGGGTCAAATTAAGTGAACTCCAAATTTGAAGTTTACGAGTTTCAAGTTTTTCGACAAATTGTAGTTTGCAACTGTGTGCTTTTTGTTCTTGAGCATCACCAGTCGACTCAGCACAGTCCAGAGTATCTATTAGAACAATCAAAAACAGATGATTACAAGTTTTTCGCGAAAACTTACACATACGTAAACTCCAAACTTGGAGCACACTTAACTTGACTGACTTTCCGATAGATTCTCTTAGCATAATGTATGATTACTACACTTTCTGTCATAAAAAGGAATCAGAAAACTAAAATATTTTACTTTGCCTTACTTGGTAAAGTATCATCCCTAATCACACAACATTGAAAAAATTTGCACAAATCGAATATTTTTATTAAGATCGAATTCTTTCAATCATTTAACTGCATTGTTATAAATCATTCATTTATGATTAGATAATAGATAGTTTTTCAAAAATTGTGTGTATTTGAACATATATCAAGAGTAGAAATGATCCAAACCTAAACTATTTGAGTTTGGTGAGTTTGGATATTGAGTTTGAGTTTGAGTTTGGGTTCGTGCTTTTTTAATCTGTAAAAGACACTATTTTCGATACATTGATGGCAATTAAAAGAAGACCCAAACCCAAATCCAAACTCATTAAACTAAGCCCAAACTCCCAAACGGTTTGAATCTGGGTTTGGGTTTCGGTCATGTCTAATCAAGAAGAGAGCGCATCATCTTACATACGTTCAAAACAAATACGAATTTCACATATTGAGATGATATTTTATCGTATAATATCAATGAAATAAATTAGAAATATATAAACATTTTCGAGTATGAATACATATAATTTAAATACAATGACTTCGCAACATATATTTAATACTACTCTACCATCAATATCGAATATATATATAAGTACAGAAACAATTTTCTCTATTATTCATTTAGATCCATCTTTATCCAAAGTTCGTTTAAAATCACTTCAAACAATCATAAAAAAATATTTATCATTAGAAGAATATCGAACATGTCTTCGTCTCTATACACATTATGCACGTCTTGAATATGAGTATTTTCAACGTATCAATGATAGTCGTCGTATATTTGATTTATGTTATCAAACGATTCGAACAAATCCAACGAATTTTTCTTCCTACGATTCATATATTGATCTATGTCATTGGCTTTCAACATCATTAATATGTGAATTTAATTTAAATTCTTTATATGATTCAATGTTAAAAATAATCTTAGAAAATTCGAAATATATTTCAATTGATAAACAAATCAATAAGGAAAAACTTTGTTCATCGATTAATTTTGTTTTAAATAAATTATTTCCAAATATTCAATTCAATAATATCATAACATTGATTATTGATTGTTTAAAAACACGTAAAATATCGAAATGGGATCAAAAATCTGAACAAGATTGGTCAATATATTTATGTCAAAATAAATCTTTATCATTTGAATTATTATTTATTTTTCTTAATTATTCATATTTATTAAATGATCCATTTGATAAAATACATTCAATTATATTAAATTCAATTATACCATTAATTAATGAACAATATAATAAAACAAATCAAATTATTATTGATTATATACTTCAATTTTATATATGTATACTTTGGAATGAATTATTTACTGAACATCTTTTATTTAATCAATGTACAAATTATTTAAAAGAATTTTTACAATCAATACAATATCCATCAATAATTTTATTAAAATTTACATCGATATATACATGTCTGTTACCATTATATGGTAGTTATGTTAATGAATATGAACAAACATTATTAAGTTATAAATCAAATAAAAAATTTGAATATCGTTTAATAACAAAAATATGTGTTTTACAAATGAATTTAATTCGACATTTAAAAATACAAAATGCAAGTTCAGTGAATAAAAATTTTAATTCCGGTTATGAACATCGTGTTAGACATATTTTAAGACAATTGATTCAAGAATATCCATATTATGTTCAATTATGGTTTTTTTATGAATATTTTGAAAGATATTCACCAGATAATCATCGAATTAAAGCAGTTCTTTATGATGCAATGCAAAATTGTCCATGGGAAAAAGTATGTTTAAATTAGTTGTAACAATACTTTAAATAGTAGAAAAAAATATAATTCTCGATTGTGTTAGGGTCCGTTGGGATTGTCCCAATCTCTATTCCGTCGGGAGTGGGACGGGTATCCCTGTTAAAAACGAGATAGGAACTACGCAGTCCCAAGTAAACACATTAATGGGTTTTAAGTCTGGATGAATTGTATTCACAGAAAATGATAATGGCGTCGAAATTCTCGAAAAAATATTTTACCGAGACCGGGATCGAGACGTTCAGAATCGGGATGTAAAAACTCGGTCCCATCAGACCCTATATTCCATCTAGAATTGATTAAAACTTAAATTCTTACTTTTTTTATCGGTTAAAATCATAGCAAGCTTTACCTATTAGAAGATGATGAATAAAGTATAAGGAAAATACGCTTTGCCATAGCATAACTTATTATTTTTGACCGACAGACTAACTATTATTCATAAGCTCAGATGTTATAATAAGAGAATCAATATAAACAATTTTGTGATATTAGGTCTCATTTGTTAAATTTATTCGACACATCTTTTACATAAAAGAATACATATTTCCTGGCAGACAAAATTTTAAAAAAGATATTTTAACAAAAATAAAATTCGGAAAAGCGCACATTTTTACGATTTTTGTCTCCGTTAGCTTGTCTACTGTGATTAACGCGTTAAAACAAACAAAATAATGTGTAAAGTCACATTAAATTTCGCGTTTCAGCGAGTAGTTACGTCGTATATTTTAACGCAGTAGAACGCTTTCTAGAATACTGTGTAGAGACGCGTTAAGAATTCGTGTGGCCTACCGTTAAAACGCCTTATTTACGCGTTTTGTTTCAAAGATTATGTTTGTCTGAGTTTAATTAAAAACACTGTTTATAATTCTCTTTCTACTATTGGTTACATAGTAAATCATATGACTTACTATGAATGTCAACATGTTTTTTTCAATAAGAAATCTGATTTAATCGATTCTGAATAATAATCAGCTACTTACCTTTAAGCTAACAAATTTTCCGGATATTAAGTTGACTGTTAATATACATTCAAATGTATTTTGCCTATTAGTCATTATTCAATAGTTTATTCGTATAACGAGTTTTTTTTTCTAACCGATTTCTTCTAATAAAGACTACGAGTATAATTATTCTTTTTTTCTTCTAGACTTTATATATGAAATCAATTTCAAATGCTATTGGTGATACTGAATGGAAATTTTTTCTAAATGTTATGCTAAAAAGCAATGTACACATTTTGTTTTCTATTGAAGAATTTGATATGTTGAAAGAATTATTAGAAATGAAAACTGAATAAAAAAAATTTATTTTGTTTTTATTTCAGATATGAATATAATTATATTTTAAAAGAGTACATTCTTTTTATTTTTATTTATACAAGAAAATGTATCGAGTTAATAATTTAATTCAAACATCTTATTGTGTTCGCTCAACACTTACTTCAACGAAACGTTTATTATCAGTTAAAGGTACACAACAACCACAACAAGAAAAAAAAACGTATGATTTTCGAAAAATAAATAAACTTCTTGTTGCTAATCGTGGTGAAATTGCAATACGAATATTACGTGCATGTACCGAAAATAATATTCGTACAGTTGCTATTTATTCAGCTGAAGATGAAGGACAATTACATCGTATAAAAGCTGATGAATCATTCAAAATTGGAAAGGGTTTAGCACCTATTGCTGCTTATTTAAATATTCCAGAAATAATTAAAGTTGCTTTAAAAAATGATGTCGATGCTATTCATCCAGGCTATGGTTTTCTTTCGGAAAATGGAGATTTTGCTAAAGCATGTATGGATGCTGGAATTATGTTTGTTGGTCCAACACCTGATGTTATTTATCGAATGGGAAATAAAATACATGCACGACAAGCAGGTAAACGAAAATCTCGAAAAAGAAATATATATATTTCTCATATTAAATAAATATATTTAAAGCTCTTGATGCTAATGTACCAATAATTCCTGGTACAACGGATGCAGTCGATAATCTTGATGGTGTACGTGAATTTGTTAAGACACATGGTTATCCAGTAATGCTTAAAGCTGCACGTGGCGGTGGTGGACGTGGTATGCGTATAGCAACGAAAGAAAGTGAATTAGAAGAAGCATTTCAACGTGCTTCATCAGAAGCTAAAGCAGCTGTTGGTGATGGAAGTTTATTTGTTGAACGTCTTGTTACACAAGCAAGACATATTGAAGTACAAATTATTGGTGATCATCATGGAAATGTTGCACATTTATTTGAAAGAGATTGTTCTGTACAACGACGTCATCAAAAAGTTATTGAAGTTGCACCAGCAACGAATTTAGATCCAAAACTTCGTGAACGTATGACATCTGATGCTGTACGTTTAGCTAAATATGTTGGTTATCAAAATGCTGGAACTGTTGAATTTTTACTTGATAATCATGGAAGACATTATTTTATTGAAGTTAATTGTCGTTTACAAGTTGAACACACATGTTCAGAAGAAATTACTGGTATTGATATTGTACAATCACAAATCAAAGTTGCTGAAGGTGCAAAATTACCTGAATTAGGTCTTGAACAAGATAAAATTAAAATTATGGGCGCTGCTGTACAATGTCGAATGACAACAGAAGATCCAGCAAATAATTTTACGCCTGATATTGGAAGAATTGATGTTTTTCGTTCAGCTGAAGGATTTGGTTAGTATTATTTGGAGGAATTAGAAAAATTCATATTGCTTTTTTACAGGTATTCGTATTGATAGTGCTTCGGCTTATACCGATGCTGTTATCAGTCCATTTTATGATTCACTCTTGGTTAAAGTCATTGCTCATTCACGTAATCATCAAGAAGCATGTGCTAAAATGGTTCGTGCACTTAAAGAATTTCGAATTCGAGGTACATGGTATATAGAACTATGAAAATAATAAAATTTATTGTATTTCAGGTGTTAAAACAAACATTCCATTTTTACTTAATGTTCTTCAACATAAACAATTTCTTGAAGGCTCAATTACTACAGGTTTTTTGGATGAAAATCCACTTTTATTTAAATTCGTTCCTTCACAAAATCGTGCACAAAAATTACTTCATTATCTATCTGAAATCATGGTTAATGGACCATTAACACCATTGGGTACAGATATAAAACCAATGAATATTAAACCTGAACTTCCTCATATAAAAAAGAAAGAAATTCCCAATGGTTGGCGTCAAGTTTTATTAGAAGAAGGACCAAAAGGTTTTGCAAAAGCTGTTCGTCAACATCGAAAGTATGACTTACATTATAATATATTCTGTTTTTTGTAAATTGTAATTAATTAGAGCTTTACTTATGGATACAACAATGCGTGATGCTCATCAAAGTTTATTAGCAACACGAGTACGAACATGTGATTTAAAAATATCCGCACCATTTGTCGCAAAAAATTTTTCTCAATTATTTAGTTTAGAAAATTGGGGAGGTAAAAGATTTATTTTATTCGACTTTATTTTATGAATAAAAATAATTCTTAGGTGCAACATTTGATGTTGCTCTTCGTTTTCTCCATGAATGTCCATGGGATCGTTTAACTGAATTACGTGAACTTATACCAAATATTCCATTTCAAATGTTATTACGTGGTGCAAATGCTGTTGGTTATTCAAACTATCCAGATAATGTTATCGATGGTTTTTGTCAAATGGCTGTTGATCATGGAATGGATATCTTTCGTGTATTTGATTCATTAAATTATTTACCAAATATGAAAGTCGGTATCGATGCAGTCGGTAAAGCAAATGGTGTTATATCAGCTGCTGTTTGTTATACAGGTGATGTCGCCGATAAATCACGAACAAAATATAATTTAGATTATTATGTTAAATTTGTTGATGAACTTGTTAAAATGGGTATACATATTTTATCTATCAAAGGTAATACAGTGTTTTGTTTTAATTAGATAAATATAAGTAATGTGTTGTAGACATGGCTGGTCTTCTTAAACCACGAGCAACTAAAATGTTAATCGATGCTATTCGACAAAAACATCCAGATCTACCAATTCATTTACATACACAGTGCGTACATAAATCTTTTTTTGACAATCATGAAATATTTACTTTTACAGTGATACAGCTGGAACTGGTATTGCTAATTATATGGCTGCATTTGAAGCTGGAGCTGATGTTGTTGATGTTGCTGTTGATTCTATGAGTGGTATGACATCACAACCAACTATGGGTGGTATTGTTGCTGCATTACAAAATACCAAATATGATACAGGAATCGATATGGATAAAGTCAATGAATATTCAGCATTTTGGGAACAAACACGTTTACTTTATGCACCATTTGAATGTACAACAACTATGAAAAGTGGTAATGCTGATGTTTATAAAAATGAAATACCTGGTGGACAATATACAAATTTACAAGTAAAATAAAATTATATATATTCATTAAAGATCAAAAATATTTTTGATTTTAGTTTCAAGCATTTAGTCTTGGCCTTGGTTCACAATTTGAAAATGTTAAAAAATCTTATATTGAAGCCAATCAACTTCTTGGTGATATTATTAAAGTAACACCATCATCAAAAGTTGTTGGTGATCTTGCACAATTTATGGTACAAAATAATTTAACCGCTAAAGATGTACGTGAACGTGCTGATGAACTTTCATTTCCAACAAGTGTGATTGAATTTATGCAAGGTCAACTTGGTCAAGTAAGAATTTCATATATAGAAATTTAATTCATATAAATGTAATTTTAGCCACATGGTGGATTTTCTGAACCACTTCGTACACAAATGTTAAAAGGAAAGAAAAAAATTGATGGACGTCCAGGTGCTGATTCTGAACCATTAGATTTTGATAAAATTGAAGAAAAATTAAAAAAGAAATTTGGCGATGATATTATACGTAAATGTGATGTTATGTCATATGTTATGTTTCCTAAAGTACTTGAAGAATATATTGATTTTAAACAACAATATGGTCCTGTTGATCTTTATCCAACAAGAATATTTTTTGTTGGACCAAAATTAAATGAAGCTATGGAGTAAGTCTAATTCGATGAAAAATAAAAATCGAAATAATATTTTTTTTAAGTATTGAAATTGAACATGGAAAAGTTCTTCATATTGTTGTATTGGCTATCAGTGATTTATTGGTTGAAACAGGTGAACGTGAAGTATTCTTTCAAGTTAATGGACAATTACGTTCAATGAAAGTTAAAGATAAAGTAGCTATTAAAGATCAAAAAGTTCATCCAAAAGCCGATAAAAGTAAAAAAACTCAAATTGGTAAGTTACACATTGTTAAATATAGAATGATCTTGTTTATATCAGATGATAACAATTGTATTTTTAGGCGCACCAATGCCAGGTCAAGTATTAGATATAAAAGTTAAAGAAGGTGATTCCATTAAAAAAGGTGATACAGTTATTGTTTTAAGTGCGATGAAGGTATAGTAAAATAAGAAAAGTTAATTTTATAATTTTCTTTTATTATTTATTTAGATGGAAACTGTTGTTAAAAGTACCGTCGAAGGCAAAGTTAAGAAAATACATGTTAAATCTGGTCAACAAGTACAAGGCGATGATCTTGTTATCGAACTCGAATAGATCTTTATGCATCGAATCTCTATATAATCTGATCTGATTTTATTGTTTTGTGTTTATATTTAAATCCTGGTGACATTCCTTTTATTTTTCTTCGTTAGATTTTTATTCTATCTCATTTATATTGTGATTATGCATTTCATATGATTACAGTTTTTTTAGTATAGTTGATAACAAAACTGTCAGTTTTTTTTTCTTCTTTTTGTAGTAAAAACCGGTAGGTTGTTGTTTTAATGTTTCTTATTATCCATAATAAAAAAACAAACAAACATTTACTCTTTCTTAAGATTTCTTTTAAATATAAAAAATATGTCGACATTAACAAATGATGAACAATTAGATTCTGACAATAAAACACTTGAGGTACAAGATAAACTTCTTTTTTCATCTGAATTCATTGTATAACTTTATAGACAGCAGTTCGTAATACAGCAATTCAAATGGGTTGTTGGACAGCTACAGATGATTATTTACTTATTACAAGTATATTACATCTATGTGATTTAGAACGTGTTCATGAACGAGTTAAATTTTCAATGCCATTTACATTAGAAAATATTCGAGATCGATGGCAATGTTTATTATATGATGCATCAATATCAAAGTAGAAATTTCCTTCGTTAATTTGTAGTTTTTTATTTATCAATTTAGAATGATTATAACAAAAATACAACAACTTTCAATGTTACAACTTGAAAATTTACGAATACCATTTAGCGAAGAAGAAGAACGTTTAATAGCAACGATACCATCACATGTAAATGCCATTTGTATTAGCTATTTTCGTTTTTTTCTAATAATAAATTTTTATTTTAGACAATTCCAGCGGTACTTGATAATGAACTAGATACATGTTTAAGTAAATATTCGCAACAATTTTGGTCTAATCGTACGATTGAAGAATTACGTGAATGTTGGTCTCAATTACGTCAACAAGGTCGTCTCACTGATCAATCAAATGCAGGTTAGTAAATCGAATTCAAACTATATAAATATATCGAATTTTTTTTTAGATAATTCTCAAGTCGAACAGACAACTCACAGTTTGAATGATCGTATGATTTATTGTTTTTTCTTTTAAAGAATGTAATGGATTTATCTTTAATAGAAAATGCGACAGCCAACAAATTGAGTAGTTTATTGGCACCGTTTGAATTCGAATTATTATCTCGTATGTTGATCAATAAATATTACAAAAGTTTCTTCTAATTTGTTTTTTTTTGAATTAGGTAACAAAGAACAATTTGTAGATAAAGATAAACTTCCTCATGCACTTCTTCATGTTCATGATCGTCTCTATTGCATGTATACTGATCAAGTAAAATTTCCAACCGAATATTTTTGTTTTATCATAGAATTAATATTTAGTTAAACTTTGGAACTGATGTTAATCCTGATATAAAATTTGATATATCATTTGATAATTCAACAAGCATTCATATTAAAGGAATGATAATTTATAAATCAGGATTATTCTATATTATAAATAATGGTGATAATGCATTTCGTGTAAATGATGCATTACTCAATCCAAATGAAGCAAGTCCATTAGGTACACGAGCAATTATTACTGTAAGTTTAAAACTATTAAGTTATTTTATTTTCATCTATTAATCTATCTTAGATACTGGAACATATGATGGTCTTTCAAGCAATTGAATTATCTTAATTATGTTTCTTTTTTATGTTTGTTAACATTGTATAGATTAAAATAAATAAAAGAAATGAATAGACTATAGTTTTTCAGCAAATTGATTAATCAAGTATAGGTCAGTGTGTGAACTGAAGCCAGAATGTGTAGTTTATCGAAAAATATGATAATGACAATGAAGCGCTCAAGGACAATACAAATCTGTCTTCTTTTTGCTTTACAAACTATATAGATTTTGTTTTTTCAGAATATGGAAAAACCTCGTGCACCATTACCAACATTTGTTCTTCGTTCATTTTCATCTGGAGTCACATGTATTAAATATGATTTAACAGATTCTTTACGTTTATATACAGCTGAACAACAAGGTTCGGTTTATTTATATAATCTTCGTACTCGCCTTCCAATTCTTTCATTACCTAATGCACATACATCAACAGTACTTGGTTTAAATCAATTCATTGAAAATAATAAATTAATTACATTTAGTAAAGATGGTTTTGTTAAAGTTTGGAATGAACAAGGTCAATGTGAATGGGATTATCAAACTCATCATTGTTCATTTTCAAATAGTGATATTATTTCACCAAATTTAATTGTTGTTCCAATTGGTAGTGATAATTCAATGATTGCTGCACTTGATTATCAATGTTCAAATCCTATTGTTAAAAAATTCATACCTATATCAACAGAGATAAATAATGGTATGATAATGAAATTACGTGTTTTTGATAATCGGTGGCTTTTTGTTGCTTATGAAAATGGTTCATTAAAAGTGTTTGATATACCAACAACAAAACAAATTGATTCGTATCAGATAACATCTGATCATGAACCAGTAACAGCTTTGGATGTTATTTGTAATACATGTTTATGTGGTACAACAAAATCAGATTTAATTTCATTGGATTTTTCACTATTAAAATTACAACCTACATCGACATTTCGTCAAATTGAAATGCCAAATGCTGGTACAAGTTTTATACGATGTCGACCTAATGATGGAAAATTAATAGTGGTTGCTGGTTGGGATTCAAGAATAAGATTATTTCGAAGAGAAACAGGAAAACAATTAGCTATGTTAGATTTACATCGACAACAAGTTAATTCAATTGATTTTGATTTTCATACAAAACAAATGGCTTGTGCAAGTGAAGATAAAACCGTATCAATTTGGGATATTTATAATAATGATAATAATAAAACCAAAACTAACTCATAAATATCATGATGTTTTTCCTCATATGATGTATAATTTTATAAGAATGATCGTTCAAATAAATTTTATAAAAATTCGACAAATCTTTAGGAAATTATGAATTATTTTTTTTTGTCATAGCTTGAAAACTATATCAGTTTACTGAAACAGAATAATCAGAAAGATTGAATGAAAAAAGATCTAATTACTCGTAGGAAGTGCACTTCATTTTTATCCACATACAATTCAATCTTTCACAACATCGACTAAAATTATTAATCATGGTTTTTTTAATTAATAATTATTGTGAATTAGAATTATTTAGTGTCGATGAAATTATTTGGAAAAAAAATTAAGAATGATTTCAATGAATAATAAGATCATACAGAAAAAGGTTTATATGACCTTACTCATTGATAATAAAATTTTATCTAAATATTTATTGAAGCCACGTTATCACATTTAGTTGCTCTATATAATAAAAAAAGTAACAAATTTGAATAAAGAATTTCAGGTTTGACTAAGAATGGTCTACGTATGATATGAAAATTCATTGAAAAATTAATAATTTTCTCGAACACTGCACCGGTTGATAAATTTGCATTAAATAATTAATAAAATAAAATCGATTTAATAGAAATTACTCAATCACAAACTAACTTTCGTCGATTTATATCGAATTTGTTTAGAATTAAAAATTTCTTGCATATATATGTTTTCGTAAACATAATTCGATTTACTACTAACCAATACAAAGAAAAGCAAACATTGTCTTGCATATCATGACGCATCATTGTGTAATAACTATGTGTGGCTTCAGCGAGAAAATCGGAAGAACGTACTATATTAAAAATATTTACCTTAGTATATAAGCCCGACTTATGCAGTATTATAAACTACTTAACTCTTTTAGACGTTTTACCATGGCAGCCAGTACTAGACACATAACATCATCTACTTTAACTGCAGTCGAAACTGAACTAATCAATCGTGTCCATTCACATTTTCCAAATAATGAACCAAATAGATTCCATTATTTCTATCAAACAGCTTCTCCATTTAGTAATTTTCATCCATGTACTTTCTCAGAAAATGAAGTTCAATTTCATTGTAGTGAACAATATATGATGTATCATAAAGCGAGTAATGAAAAAGATTTTATATGTTATCTTTTTTCAAACTACTATTTTTCTTTAAAGAATTATTTGGTGACAGTGAAACAGCTGAAGCAATTCTTGAAGCTAAAAGTCCAGCTGATTGTAAAGCTTTAGGAAGAATTGTAAGAAATTTTGATGAACAATTATGGATGGATAATCGAACACCTATTGTTTCGAATGCACTTCAATTAAAGGTAATCTATTAATTTTATTATTTAATTTAATGAAAGAAAGAATTTGCTTTCAGTTTAATCAAGATACTAAAATGAAACAAGCAATTTTAGAACAAGATGGTAATTTATTAGTTGAAGCATCGCCAAATGATGGTATATGGGGAGTGGGTTTAAAGAAAACAGATCCTTTAATTAAGAAACGATCGAATTGGCAAGGACTTAATCTATTAGGTTATATATTAACTGATGTATTACAAACTATGAAGAAATAAATCATTGTATAAGATCGAAAATTTCCATTTTTATATCATAATAAAATTATTTTGTAAAGAAAAAACGCATAGAATTTATTTTAATTAAAATTAAGTATAAAATTTCAAAATTATACTTATCTTTTCACAACTATCTGACAATATGAAAAAAAATCACACATGAAAAAAACAATTAATGAAACGGATTAACTGTATTTCTATAGATTCCTTCTTTCATAAGAAAATGTATGAATTCATCTTTAGTAACACGTCCATCTCTACTTAAATCTAATTTTTTCATTAAATCCTTGGCAACAACATCAGGTGGATAATCTTCAACATGTTTAATACCTAATAACGTATACATGCCTTGCAAAACTGGTCCAATTTCATCTAAAAATAATCGTATGATTTTCTTTTATTCTGTAAATAAAATTTTACCTTCAGTAATATAACCATTTGAATCTAAATCATAGCATTCAAATGCGTAATCTAATCGTGATCGAAGGTCACCACGAGAACATATAGCAAAACCAAGTAAAAATTCACCAAATTCAACAGAACCATTTCCATCAACATCAAATGCACGAAATATATGATCAGATATATCTTCCAAACGTTCCGAAGGTTCTTGACGAAATAGACGAAATAATTTACGAAATTCTGTCCGATCAAGACGACCATCTGGATTATCTTCAAAGAATTTCTCATGCCATTGAAGAATTTCCTCGGCTGTTAGACCTATCAAAAAATAAATTTGAATAATAAACTTTATATTATATCAGTGTATGAGATATGGATGTATCTTGATTATTTTTAATAATCATGACGACAAGTTATAAATAAAAGGAATGTAATAAAAACGAGGAACAGATGTATCATCGATAAATTTTGAAATCTGAGAACATCGCTACTGAGTAAAAAGAAAATGTACTTCATCCTTTCACAAAACATAGAAACATGATGAAATGTTATATATCTTATCATTGTCGTTTAACTTTTAAGCGGCCTAGAGCAATACTTGCAGCTATTATTGCATGTTGTTGAACTGTTTAAAACAGGCGTATTTACTACGATCAGTTGTTATAAGTAGAGAATATAAAATTTTTGACTAATGTTTGTCAAAAATCTCATATCATCTATATTGGATTTTATGATTTTTTATATGAGACAGTTGACTGACTAATGACATTAGTGTTGTAAAAACGCAAACTTTAATAAAACTAATATAAAAATAAATATTCAAATTTACCAGTTTGTGAACATAGAAAATTGATATCTCGTTCGGCTAATGCCCATTTATTTTGTTGTTGATTTGGTTCGGATATACTATTAGGAGTAATTGAGTTATGTTGCGATCGACGGCTAGTATGTGTAGTAATATCCGATGTGCCGGTCGAACTTTTCCTATTGCCCATGATGTATATATCTGTAAATACTCAATAAATAAATATGTTTTTTACTTCGTAACAGCAAATAAATACACAATGCACTTTTTTTTATATAACAAGTCAAAACAAAACATACTTGATCAATGTATAACTGAATTGGTTATGTCTCCCTATGCATATATACAGCTACCAACGTGTGCGTGTACATATTTACTTTATTACGAAGTCATTAAATGGATTGTTCTTTCTTTTTTTCTGCGTAGGAAGTGTTTATGTCTCTTACCTCTTATTCGTGTCTATTTTTTAATAAGGTATCCATATAAAAATCGACAACAGGTAAATATAATAAACTTGGCAATTTTTAACTGATGGGCATTTTTATTACTCACGTGCTGTTCTCTTTCTGTCATCTTCGGTTACATTGTTTATGTAGACATTGAATTTTTTTTTTGTGTCTTTTATATACTAAATAACCTTATAATAAATATAAATTCTATCACTTGTAAATACATATGATAAGATTCAGAGTAGGAATTAAACACAGGGACTTCTTTCATATATATATATATATCAACTTTTCTTTGCATATATAAGATGTCGCTAGTAATCGAAGAATTACTTATATTATTTTCATTGGTCGTGATAAATCATGCATTCTCATCTCCTTGACGAAATCATTTCACAGTAGTTTTATTTGTGATCATTTTGAACATTCGTACAAGGAGATAATATCAAGAACAATGAGGTCACAACTAATAGATACTCAACAACAGCAGCAACTGTCAACAATGATTCCAGTTCGTTATCGAATTTTACTTTATTTAAATATTTTTTTGATAATTGTTGATATATGTATTAATACATTTGATGAATTTCTTGCACCAAACACATTTGGACAACTTATTATATTTATGTAAATATATTAGAAAAATTTCTAGCTAAAAAAAAATAATATTTATATAAATTATTTTTTTGTTTTAGTATTCAAGATGTGTGTATTGTCCTTTCAATTACATTACTTATCGTAATGGTTTTAACAACTTATGTTGCTCAGGCTGGATTACTCTGTCTACTTCTTCGAATGTTTCGTTTTTCAATTATTGTTGCTTGTTTTTATTTAGCACTTTGTGCTGTTGTTCAAGCACTTATACTTGTAATTTACTTTTTTTTACATATTCAATCGAAAATTCTATTTATTCATAGGTTGAACGATTTCAGGAAAGCACATTCATAACAAGTGCTTTTCTAAAACCACAAGTATTAGCTTTGTATGTCGTTCAACGAACATGTATGATTCGAATATCTTTCTTTTCTATTTTAATTTAATTTTTGTTTTTACAAAATTTTAGTTTCAGTTTTATATTATTATGGAATGAAACGTGCAGCTTATCGTTTAAGTGATCCTCATTTTTATCAATCATCGAAATGGTTACAAAATCTTTGGTAAAATTATTTCTAAATTAAAAATTTATTTTATTATTATTATCATTTTCAGGGAAAAACGTCGTATGGCTGCTACAGGTGCAGCAATGCATGCAAATTCAGCAGCTGGATCTACATCAACTGCACTTCGTTGTTCTTGTTGTGAAATTTTATAGAATGAATTTTGTTTTTATATGATCTCTAATCATCCGTCCAATAATGTTTAGTTGTTTGTCGTGTTTGTTTTTTCTAACATTTATATATCTCATATCAGATGTATATGTCTTGCGTAATGGTAACAAATTTTATAGTTTAAAAAGAAAGAATAGATAAAAAAAAATGAAGACATACCTTTTGATTGAATGATTTGAAGAGGAAGAAAAAAAAAGTAACCTTATGTTGACAGGTGACTCATTAACATCAGTTTAAAAATGGTCCGATATGTACAAGAACGAATAGAAACGATTGTTGTTAGTTGCTTGATTTTTCTTTCTTCTAGATTTTTATTTAATATATATGTCCGGATCAAATCTTGATAAACTAGTGTCAACAAAACATGGATGGCATGTAGGTTTTGATAAGCAATTTGATCCGAAATGGAAACCATTTGGAAGACCAAGAGCAAAACAATTAGTTGAATATGTACCATTATTTATGAGGTAAATATTGAATCAAAGAAAAGTATTTTCTAATGATTTTATTAGATATCTTCGAATATGGTACAAATTAAAAAAAGCAAAACGACGTGCACATATGGATTTTATTAATCCAATACCACTTCAACAAATTTATGGTAAACAGAAAAATAGAAAATAAAATTTTATTTATTTATTTATTGTATAGGTGCACCTATTGGTGGTTTGGGTTGTGGAACAATTGGTCGAGGTTTTCGCGGTGAATTTTGTCGTTATCAACTTGTACCCGGTCTTTATGAATTTCAAACTGTTGAAACAAATACTGTTCGTATTGAATAAATTGTCAAAGAAAATCTCATTTCTTTTATTAATTAGTTTACTGTTTGTATTCGTCGTCGAAATACAACAAGTTATTGTCAAGTTTTAATACCTAATCGTCTAAAAAAAAAAGGTTTACGTGCATGGAATGCAGCATTTCCTGCAGAAAATGGTCGCTATCAAGCTTTGTATCCACAATCATGGACAACATATGATTTACCTGCTCAAAATATTCGATTATTGTGTAAACAATTATCACCTGTTATTCCACATAATTATGAAGTAAAAAGAAAAATAATTCAAAAGATTATATGTATATTTTCTTTTTTTGTATTAAAGGATTCTTCTTTACCGGTTGCTTCTTTTCTTTGGAATATTGAAAATTTAAATGATGAACCTGTTGAAGTTAGTCTAATGTTTACATGGCAAGCTGGTTCAGGTAATTCATTCATTTCATTTGATTATTAATCAAAAATTCTTCTTGTTCTTATAGCTTCTCATGAATTTGTATGTCGAGATATTTCACATGAATCAATCAAAGTGTCGGATGATGGTATTTCAGCTGTTGGTGTATCAATTAAACAAGTATTACGTGATATGAATCTTGAATATTGTATTATGGGAAAACAAGAGGTTTGTTTTTCTTTAGAATAATTGATGTTGCTAATGTTTTTTTAAATATTGTAGTCAGACAATATTATTACTACGCGAACGAATTTTCATGTTGATTCAGAGACCGATGGACGTGATGTTTGGCTAGATCTAGTAGAAGATGGTCGATTAACAGGTATTAACGAAAAAATGATTATCTTAGAAGATTTTATAAACTAAAATCATTGAGACACAACAATTATATTCTTGTACATATTTTGATTATTAGAATTGAAAACTGCTCGTGCTACAACTCTTCAATCAGCTAGTTGTGTATGTATAACCACTACTGTCGAACCAAAATCTATCAAAGCATCAGAATTTGTTCTTGCTTGGCATATGCCTGAAATTAAATTTGGTTTAGGACAAAAAATATATTCAAAGTTAGTTATTCTTTTTTATTTTAAATTTCAATTAGAAAATTATGATTTGTTTTGTTTTAGATGGTATACAAGATTATTTGATAAAGCAACACTTACAGGCTCAACTCTATGCATTTATACAATGAAAAATCGAATAAAATGGGAAGATGCTATTGCTAAATGGCAACAACCAATTCTCGATGATACGTAAATAAAATGATTTATAATTAACTAAGAAACTAACTCTTTTGTATCTAGTTCAACACCAGATTGGTATAAAAGTGCTTTATTTAATGAGACATATTTTATTGCTGATGGTGGAACTATTTGGCTCGATGTTAGTGATGATCATACATTACCTGAACATATTAGAAAATGGGGGCGATTTGGTTATTTAGAAGGTATATAATTCCATTTTAATTATTATCATATTTTTGATTTAAAATTTTTCAGGTCATGAATATCGAATGGTGAATACATATGATGTTCATTTCTATGCATCCTTTGCTCTAATTCAATTATGGCCAGAATTAGAATTGAGTATACAATATGATTTTTGTACGTTATTTATATATAGAATACAATAATAAATGAAATAAAATTTATTTTCAGCTAGTACTATCACTTATGAAAAACTAGAATCTCGTATTTATCTATTTCATGGGCAAGCATCTCATTGGAAAACATTACATTCTGTTCCTCATGATCTTGGTGATCCTGGTATATTGTTTGAATATATTGTTTTGAATATTAATTCTTCCTTTTAGACGAAGAACCATGGTTATTAATCAATGCTTATATATCTCATGATACAGCAGATTGGAAAGATTTAGGTTTAAAATATATCCTTCAAGTATATCGAGATTATGTTTATACTAAAAATAAACAATTTCTTACTGATATATGGAAAACGATCAAAGTAATAATACAGATTTCTATATATACAGTTTATGTTATTAATTAATTTTTGAAATAAAGTTTGTGACTGATCGTGTTAAAAAACAAGATGTCGATGGTGATGGTCTTGTTGATAATGGTGGTTTTGCTGATCAAACTTATGATGCATGGACAGTACTTGGAGCAAGGTAGGTTTTATTTTGGTTCTTTGATATGATGAAAGAAACTATTGTATTATTATTATTATTATTGATTTTTAGTGCATATTGTGGTGGTCTTCATATTGCTGCACTTCGTGCTTGTGTTGAAATGGCACGAATTCTGAATGATGAAAATGCTTTGAATGAATATGAACCCTGGCTTGAATTAGCTAAGAAATCTTATTCAGAAAAATTATGGAATGGAAAATATTATGATTATGATTCAAGTACATCACGTCATCATGATAGTATTATGTCTGATCAATTAGCTGGATTTTGGTATTTACGTTTATCTGGTCTTAAATATGAGGTAAAATTTAAATTTTAGAAAGAAAAGAGAAACTAATAAGAAATCTTTTTGTTTTGTTAATTAAAGGATTTTGAAAAGGAACGAGTTGATAGTGTACTTAATACAGTATTTAATGCAAATGTTATGGCATTTGGCGCAGGAAAACTTGGTGCTGTTAATGGAATGACTAGTTCAGGACGACTAGAAATTGTTAGTATGCAATCAGAAGAAATATGGACTGGAGTTACATATGGATTATCATCAACAATGATTATGGAGGTGAATATTTTTCTAGACAATTTATATCCATTGTCTCGCATATAATAAATCCTTCTCATTTGTTATTTTATAGAACCTTCGAACTCAAGCATTTGTTACGTCTGAAGGAATATATAATACATGCTATAATGTTGCTGGTTTAGCATTTCAAACACCTGAAGCATTAACGCGTGAATCTCGTTTTCGATCAGTAAATATTTCTATTTAATTATATAAAACAAAACGATTATCTATTTAAGGTTGGATATATGCGTGCCTTATGTATTTGGTCAATTCAAAAAGCACTTGAATTATCACGTTTAGAAAATAATAGCAAAAGTAATGGAGTAGATGATTAATAATCTATTTTATTTTTATTTGAAAAAAAATCCACTTGTGATATTTTTATTTATTGAATTAAATCATTTCCTGTGAATCAAAAATTGTTTCCTTCATCGTTTTATGTGATTATTTCGTAGTTAATAGATATGTGTGTATAATGTGTATGTGAAACAATTTTTTTGTCGAATATTTATTTTAAGATTTCCGATCTGTTCTTAATAGCTAGAATTATTTCATGTATATGCCAGCGCGTTTGTTTCTTTTTATTCTTGTATTTAATTTATTACTATTTTTCTTTTTGTCTCTAACAGAAATACGATAATCCTGCATTGATATAAATAATCAAATCATAGAAAATTTGTATTGTTATTTTATATAGAATAATAAAAAGAATTTTCTTTTTCTCCGAATTACAAATGCATGATTCTTTTTATTTTCATCAAGTTTCATATTGTTTGTTTTCAGAGTAATTTACAATTGTGAACAAGTGCTTTTTTTTCCTTTTAAAAAATAAGTAAAATATAAAACTAAATGGTATTCGACTATGAAATGCGAGGTGAAGCTCGACATCGAAATGATGATTTCAAGATATTTCTGAGTATTACTCACAATTGTCTTAGAATCGAGTAGAATTTGTATATTGTCAAAGTACAGAGGATACTAAATTGAGAATTTAACCTGTGTATGTTGAAAGAATACAAACTATGTCTTGTGTTTTAACGACTTGATGATAGCATATGGAATCACCTGTTTCAACAGCACAAAAAAGAAAGACTTTGCAAGCTTATTAAATGATGACAAAATTTTTACTGCTACTGCTTTTGATTGTACTTAAAATATTAATGATTTTCAATTTAAAGATATGCGTACAAAAGGATACCATTTTTTTCATACACAGAACAGTGTATAATCGAAAGTTATTTTTCTGAACAATTACAATGTACTCTTTGATATTTTTAATTTTCTAAATATTTTTAAAAGAGAGTCAAGTCATTAAAGCAAAACTCTTTTTAGTTGAATGGATACCAATTGGGTTGATTTCAATTGACTTCTAAAATTAGTCGTGTTCAGTATAACTAGAATCAAGTCGAATTGGGTTCCCTTACAAATAACCAATACTCATACTATAAGTTGAATAATTAGAAGCAGTTCAACTAGGTTACTCTCACCCCAACTGTACGCTGATACAGATGACTACATATTTTGCAAGCATGACTTGTAAAAATGAGTTTTCTTGAAGATTTTTTTTCTATATCTTTCTGGTTAATCAAATCTATATTTTGATATTTCTAATAAAATTAAAAATCTAGCATTTTTAATTACAATGTTGCTATTTCTACTGAAAATAAATCCATATTTTTTCCAAATTTCTATACTATACAACAAAAATTTCTCTGAACAATCGTGCCTAAAAAAAACTCAATACATGAAGTCACATATGCTCAATATTTCAGACAAATTTGTTCGACAACAAATCAAATTGTAGTAAAATTCGTCAACTATGAAAGTAATGATCTTAATTCTTTCTTGATTCACTCATCTGACTCTGTTTCATGAGAACAAATTCTGTATCATCTTATAAAATATGTATTGTTTGACTTTACGATTAAAAGATTATATAGATTTTAAACAAAAATAAATAACAAAGAGCGTCATTTAAACTTTGTTGATTATAACCGAGAACACAATATTTATGTCTATGTCTATTATGCACCGTTTTATATCGATAAAGCAATCTTAGCAAAAGCATTAGTTACAATTGTTATCTCGATTCTGTCTTTTTCTAGTTGATAACATTCCTTTTCGTTTTTTTCTTTCTTTCAACAAGTAATTGAAACATCATGTGAAATCTATGAAACAAAAAAAATGTCCACTCATCTAATGAAAAGATAGAGAACAATATATATATATAGTCAACATATAAGTCTACACAGTACACATTTTATTAACGGTTTACAATGGCAAATCAAACTGTCGTCAACTTCGTCACGTTACCGGTAGAACTTGTCTACCGTATTTTGGATCATCAATCAGAACTCACTATTCTCTGCTCAATGAGAAATGTTTGTCAACGGCTCAACAGCATCGTGGACAGCTACGATCGATATCAGGTAAACTGTTTTTCTATCACGCCAATCCAGTTTTTATCTATTAACTCTCGAATTATTTTTCACTCTTACAATCTATAATTAAGTAGAATGACTTAAATAAAATATACATGAATCGATCATTTGCCACTCAAACTAATTCATCACTTATTAATCTTTTCCTAAAAACTTCTTTTTTTCCTCCTTTTCAATCTTATCCAAATATTCTGCGTTTCAAATCAACTATGATGCCATAACTATACGATGTTTAGATAAGAATGGAAAAAACGGATAAAATATTATTATTTGTTTTTTACTTGTATCTAAACACTTCTTTTTACATACCACTTTGATAATAAAACCCAAATATTGAACGAAATCAATGGTTTGTAAACTAGTTTATCTTGTTATAAATAACAGACCCGATATTTTCATACGACATACCTCCGATCAATACTCCTTTAACAGCATATGCGACTGTGGGCTTAGATGATAACGGACGTGAATAAAGAGAAGATTGACCCAAAACAACATCCACATTCTCATTCAATCGTATCACCCACCCTCACCCTCAATTCTTCTGTTTTCTCATCTGCGGCATGCCTTTACCTCGACTTTTTCCTCTAGACACTTACTACACTAGAACTCAAAAACAAGCAAATCGGAGATGTTCCAGCAAAGCATTTGGGCGATGAATTACGACACAACACAGTAACTTTCAGTCTCTCTTCATCTATACTATGTCTTTACCTTCCCTTTTTCATCTAGAAACTCACCACTCTAGATCTCACACAAAATTTAATCGGACATGTTGGAACACGATATTTGGGTGGTGCATTACAATACAATACTGTAATTGTCATTGTCACTTTATCTATGCCAAGTCTTTACCTTCACTTCTTTTATCTAGACACTCACTACACTCTATTTGGGGAGTAATGGAATCGGAGATGCGGGAGCACAATGTTTGGGTGAAGCATTACAATACAACAACGTAACTCTCATTCTCTCTTTATCTATACGATATATTTGACTGCACTACTTAATCTAGACACTTAATAGTCTAGATCTCTCGGGCAATGAAATCGGACATGCCGGAGCAAAACATTTGGCTGATGCATTACAACACAATACCGTAATTGTCATTGTCTCTTCATCTATAGCATATCTTTAGCTTCACTTCTTAATCTAGACACTCACCAATCTAGATCTCTCTCGAAATAGAATCGGATATGTTGGAGCACAACATGTTGCTGATGCATTACAACACAATACCGTAATTGTCATTGTCTCTTCATCTGTGCCAAGTCTTTACGTTGACTTCTTTTATATAGACGCTCACTACACTCAATTTTGGATATAATCGAATCAGAGATGCTGGAGCTCAATTTTTGGGTAATGCATTACAGCACAACAAAGTAGGTCTTATTTTCTGTTCATGTATACAATGTCTTCACCCCTGCTTCTTTATCTAGACACTCACTACACTGAATATCGCATGTAATCGAATTTGTGATGTTGGCGCACAGTTTCTGAGTGATGCATTACAGTACAACAAAGTAACTCTTATTCTCGCTTTATCTATAGGATGTCTTTAGCTTCACTTCTTAATCTAGACACTCACCAATCTAGATCTCTCTGGAAATAGAATCAAACATGATGGAGCACAATATTTTGCTGATGCATTACAACACAATATCGTAATTGTCATTCTCTTTTTATCTATACCATGTCCTACCTCGACTTCTTTCATCTAGACACTCACTACACTCAATTTTAGATATAACCGAATCAGAGA